TTCCTGGCACTGCCTTCTTCCCTCCTCAGTTTGTAGGATGGGTTTGTTCCTGTTTGGGAAGCACCAGCTGACACCAGACCCGGGGGCTCCCCTCTTGAGCACAGGACCAGCTCCAGCTCCAGCTGCAGGAGCTCATGGAGCACTTCACAGCAGCAGCTCCCTGGGGGAAGGTGCAAGGGGAGATTTTGTGTGAATAAATCTGTCATTGCTTTCCCCCTTCTTTTTGTGATATTTATTGCCTTCTGGATTCTGCTGCTCTCACTGCATCCTTATTATTGCACCTGAGACTGCCACAGTCCCTCAGGACAGGCAGGCCCTGTGCAGCCCCATTCCCAGCCACAGCCTCCTGCTCCAGGGAACCTTCTTTCACTTCCCAGCAGAGTTCTGTCATCTCTCTTTGCTGGCATTAACCCCAGCCCTGGGGGGAGCTGGACCAGAGCAGGGAGATTCTCTTCACTGGGCTGCTCAGCCAAGCAGCAGGGTCAGGTCTCCAAGCCTTGCTGGGGATGCAGCTCTGTGAGAAAGGACTCTCCAGCCTCGGGGAGCTGCCAAGAGCATCCTGCAGGAACAGGCTCTGAACTCTGTGTACCTGCCCTGATTGGCCCCTTTGCTGACACTGTCCCCAAAACAGAGCCATTTGTCCTCAGAAGGGGACAAATCCATGCCCCAACTGGCAAACCCTGATGCTCAACAGGAAAAACATTTTATAACCTCAGAGAAAGAAAGAAAAAAAGCCCAGAAAATGCAGCTCTGGGCACAGAAGGGCTGTGAGAGGGAACAGGAGCTCCCGTGTCCCTGAGGAGCTCCATCCTCGGCAAGAGCTGTCTCAAACCAGGTAATTCTTCCCGGATGTCAGAAGGAAAGAGGCTGTCAGAGCTGTCTGAATGTGTGAACAACACTGTCAGCGGGGGAGAGAAAAGTGTTATCAGAAATAGTTGTTCTTCAAAGCTAAATAACTCCGTGATTTTATAAGGAGTAGAAGATAAGAGATCACACCACACGCTGAGGGCTGTTGGAATTTTCTTTCTGAGAATGAAGCTGTTTGTTTTGGTAAAAAGGGAAGAGGGGAGAAAGTGAAAACCTAAAATACTTTGACTTTTCTTGACTTAGCTCTCGACAAAGCTAAAAATAGCTGTGTTGGCACTGAGCCCACACAGCCACAGCCCAGGATCAGCTGGAGCAGTGGAAAAGGGTTCCCAGCCCTCTTCCTGGCTCCATCCTGGGGCCTTTCCCAAGGTTTTCCAGCACCATCCCTGGGGATGGAGGAGCGTGGTGCAGCTTTGCTGGATGCAGGCAGGCTTGGGTGTGTTCTGACTGGCATCAGTGGGATTTTGGGTGTTCCCTGAGATCCAGATTTTACCCTGAGGAGAGGCTCAAGTTCTGCTACTCTGAGTGAGACCCTCTGTGCTTTGTGACCAAACCTGTCCTTGCACCAGGCCAGGCTCCTTCCCCAGCCCAGCCCTGCTATTGCTCTCTGCTCTAGACCCAAAGGGGAACTTCAGGCATTTGCCCTGGAATCTCATTTCCAACTCTGAAAACTCCCCACCTCAGAAGCAACTCTGGGGTCATCAAATAAAAGAACATGAAATAGTCTGACATAAGTTGATTCTAATTAGTGTGTTTTCCCATACGCTGGCTGACGTTCTCTGGAGAGCAATTAGTCTGCTTTAAGAGCAAAAGACAACTGAATAATTATTTAACCTGCCTGGGATTGATTTTAAAATCCAAGAAGTCAGATATAATAATGGATGACTCCATCAAAAAATATATAAAAGTAAGTGATAAGGGTCGAAAGCCTTTGAGCCTTGTCATCAACAGCTCGATTCCCAGTCCCAGGTGCCTCTGCACCAAATGCCCTACAAACAAGGCATGAAGAGAAGGCTTCCAGGGAAAAACATCTATAAAAACAAATTCAACCTGACTTATGAAACCTCAGCGTGTGTTGAACAACACATGGCGCTGCAGTGGGGAGTCCATGGGCTGCACTGGCTGGTCAGGGAACAGCACAGTCCCTTCCTGGATCAATCAGGCAGCAAATCCTCTCATGAACCTCAGGAGAGTGTCACCAAGCATGACAGAGCTCACCAGGGCTGTCCTTTATCTCTCTGCCCAGCCATGGGAAGGAAAGAAAGAAGGAATGGGCAGCTGGGACCTGCATGGCCAGGCAGGACTGGGAAAGACCACTGGCACCAGGGAGCAGCATCCAGGGATCTCCAGGACACTGGAATGAGCTTCAAAAATAGGGCAGAGGCAGGAATGGTTTAGAGAGAGACAGCAACACTAAGAGACCTTTAGTTTTCCTCTTTCAGGTGGAATTTGTTGTTGGGCAGTTGATAGAAGTGGAGACTGTTTTGTTGTGGACTTTTCCCACCACTGACTCTCATCCATGAGCCGGATGAGGCTCCTGCTCAAACCTGCTGGGATCCCTGGCTGGGGATGGACCCTGGCTGTGCCCAGCCCCAGGCAGCAAAGTGCCCAGCCCTGCCTGGCTCCCCCTCTGATGCTGAGGGCTGCAGAGGAGCCCTGGGGTCCCCTTGTCCAGCCATCAGCCGGCTGATGTCACACCCCTCGTGCTCTCATAGTCTCCATTTTGCTCAAATGGAAGAACTGCAACCACTATTTTCATAATTAGCTGGCTTTGCAAATTAATGCCAGTAATGCTGTGTAATCACGATGCAGATTATGCATTAATCAGCTGTCTCAAGCTGGTTATTAGGCCCTTTAAACAAGGATGGGAATGAACGTCCCTGAAGGAGGGATGGGAGGGTGGGACCTCGGGATCCCCCGGGATGGGGATCTGACAGCAGCACTCCCTGTGTCCCCCCAGGCTCTGAGCAAAGAGCAGGCTGTGCTCAGCACCCCAGGACCTGTGGGACATTCCCAATGTCCCAGTGTATTCCCGGTGTGCTCCCAGCAGTGGAACCCAAAATGCATCACTGCTGCCTGTGCTCTCTGCCTGCCTGGCACCGAATTCAAGGCACTGGGTGGCTGCACAGAAAATTCTTTCCTGTCAAAAAGCCCATTATATCCAGTTGGCTGTCTGGAACGGGAATTTATTTGGAATCAAACACCCATAATCCACATACCCAGCCCTTCCATATTCTCTCATAATAAGACATGCTCCAATGGAGCCCTGAAAGTGCTGGGCTGGGAGAAAGCCCAAGGCCAGCTAGTGGATAATCAATGTAACATGAACCCAGTTATCACTTCAGGACGACGCCACAGAACAAAAAACCCCCTGCTAAAATGGCCTGGACAGTGAAGCTTTGAATGGAAAGATGGGGATGAATCTCACACTCACTTTAGGTTTGGTTATTGTTTCTGTTGTAATGCCATGTGTGAACTTTCTCTGCCCTAAGAAACTTAAACTGAGCTTCCAGCACGTCCAAACCTTGATGTGGATGAATAATTTCCTTTGCTCTCAAATGTTTTGTCGTGATGCAGTGAGAATGAGGCACGTGGACAATTTTGCTGTGCTCTTGCCCACACTGCTTGGCATTGTGGATGAAAACCTGGTCATGAGCAATGGGCTGAAAATCACATGGGACTGAATGAGTCTCCAGAAGGAACACTCAGCCTCTCTTTCTTTATTCTTTCCCCCATTACCAAAATTAGCAACTAGTTCAGTATTTTTTCCTATCAGAGACATGCAGGGAACAGCTCAAACTCTTCTGGGCGTTTATGAATGCAAATTAATGCCCACACTCCCTTCACACCTGGGGACAGGGACGCACAAAGTCTGCAGAGGAAGAGGAGAGAAGGGACTTGTCACGACCCAGGGGAGCAGAAAGTCAGAGGCCTTTTGCAGCTCCCTGGCTGTGAAATCTCCACCTGAGCTCTCGTGCTCCGCTCGGGCTCCCGGGAGGACGCCCAGGGCACGGCTGGCAGCAGAAGGGTCAGCTTGGCTCTGGCCAAACTGGCACTCCTGGCCCACACCAAACTGCCACAGAACCACAGAGAACGTGCTCCGGCTCCTGGAGAAGGATTAATGCTGCTGCCTGAGAGCCAGGAGGGCTGAGCAGACATCTGCTGTCTACCACAAAACATTTGAGGACTACCTTAAATTGAAGAGGAAGATTTTCCTTCTGCTAATGAACCCCGAGACCATCTGTTACCAATTGTACTTGCTTATCTCGCTCATCCATTAAATATTTTGGTTTACTTTTTAATAAGACAGAACAGGGTTTGTGTCCTCCCGAGGTCCCTGCGAGGGGTGTGGGACAGATCCCACGTCCCAGAGCCAAGGACAGGCTGTTACACGACCCACCCTGCACCCAGTCACTGCAATCAGGGTGGCTGTCAGTGGGAACTGAGGACAAGACTCACAGACACGGAGCCTGGAAGCCCAGTGATGCTGTGACACGAGCTCGTTGCCCCCGGGGAGGTGTGATGGCATTAACAGCAACTCCTGAGCACGGCAGAGCCCGGGACAGGCACTGATGAGCAGAGAGGCTGCAGGGCAGCAAATCTCTGCTGGTCGGGACTAAGGGCTTGGAGAACTAAACATGAGGAGCAGTAAATGAGGAGAAGGGCACTGAGAACAGCACTGAAAATGTCCATGGGCAGCACTGCCCCGCCTGCCTCCCGTGCCAGGATGAGGTGGGGGACGAGGTAGGAGCAGTGCAAGGGGAGGGCAGTGCCAGCTTTGTGCCCAGTCACTCCTCACAGCACAGACCTGGGGCAGCCCAGGCAATAAACCTGTCTGCACTTCCCAAAGTCTGCTCCTACACTTTTATGGGAAGCCACTCGTCAGTCTCACAAAAATACTCCAAGACTCTAAATTGCCTCCTATTGCCCCACAAAGCTGTGCCCCTGAACACTCTCACAGACCAGCACATAACCAAAAACCCCAAGTGTTTCCATGTCTTCATTTCAGCCCAGGACAGGACGTGGAGCAAGCCCTGCTCCACCTGCAAATGTTCGAGAGTTTTCTCGCCCTTGCTGCTTAAGATCATGAATCAAACTCTCTGTGGCTCAGAGGTGGGGTTTTTGTCTTGCAGGAGGGATCTTTGAGTACGCGGATGGCCCCAACACCCAGGTGATGAGTGCTGAGGAACAAGCCTTCCGATTCTCCGCCAACATTATTAACAGGAACAGAACTTTGCTGCCTAACACAACCCTAACCTATGACATCCAGAGGATACACTTCCACGACAGCTTTGAAGCAACTAAGAAAGGTAAGAGCAGAGCAAACTTCTGAGCAGCTTTGTGGCCATTTATGCAGCACAAGAAAGGTCTGGTTTCACCGGAGACCCAGCAGCTTGTTCTGCCCTTGCTCTCACCAGTGATCTGGGTGAGAACTCCTCCCAGAGCTGACCTTCCACAGGCCTTTTAATACAAGGGGAACAAGTACTTTTTCTTCCCTCTGCAAAGCTCACAAAACTCCTTTCACAGCGTTTGCTCTAATCCTGAGCGAAGGTCTGGAGGCCAGGCCTGTGTTTGTGCCTCTGTGTCCCTGGCAGTGCTCACATCCCTGGGGTGGATATTCTGCTCTCTTACTAACAGTCAGTTTTGATTACTGGATAAAAACAGCCCGCTTGAGTTACTGAGGGGGAGGGAGGAAATGGGACTGCACAGCAAGGGCTGGTGACCTGAGGGTTCATGGAGTTTGATTCTGGTTTGGGAGAAAGGAAACCTGCTGCCTGAGCCTGAGGGACATCACTGGGATGCTCCCAGCCAGCCCAGTGACCCCCTTTTCAGCTGGTTTTGTGGTGGAGGATCCCTCAGAGAGCCTGGCACTGTTCTGTGACTCTACCCACCGGTGCAGACCCCACCTGCCATAACCCCTCCTCTCTTCTCTCTCTCTGACTTGTCATTGCTGTAATTACCCAATATCAGAGCTGTTAGAGCCCAGCAGTGCCTGTTCACCCCCTGTCCCCTGCCCAGGGCAGGCACAGCTGTCTGTGCCCATCTCTGACATCCCTCCCTCCCTCCCCCAGCCTGTGACCAGCTCGCCCTGGGGGTCGTGGCCATATTCGGACCTTCCCAAGGCTCCTGCACCAACGCTGTCCAGTCCATCTGCAACGCCCTGGAAGTGCCCCACATACAGCTCCGATGGAAGCACCACCCTCTGGATAACAAGGACACTTTCTATGTCAACCTGTACCCCGACTATGCCTCCCTGAGCCACGCCATCCTGGACCTGGTGCAGTACCTCAAGTGGAGGTCAGCCACGGTGGTGTACGACGACAGCACAGGTAGGGAAAGGAGGGGACTGAAGGAGGAATCCTGGAGATTTTCTGTCGTGGGTCTCTTTGGGAACCTTTCCAATGAGCCTTTCCAGGAGCCAAATGACCCCCTCGTGCAGTGATGGGTTCCCAGGAGTTGTGGGAGCCCCTGGGATCTTTCTAAGCTGGTAACTCCCAAAGCTCTCAGTGAGTGGGGGACTCCCAGCCCCAGAGCTGGGGGGGCTCATGGCACTGGCATGGGCAGCTCAGCCCAGCTCCTTGGGCACCACAGCTCCCCTCTGCACCATGGAGGGGGCAGTTCCCAGCCACAGCAAAAGCAGCTCTGGGAAGCTTTTTGTTTCCTGGCTAATTCTGTAACACAGAGCTGACAAAGTTTCGTCACGTAAGGAAAGCTGCTGATGGTTAAACAAAGCCAAGCTCTGCCCAGTGCTAGAGATAGACTCCCAAAAACAAAAGCCACATTGGATAGCCTGTCCAACCTAATTCCACTAAACCAAATGGTTTCTTTAGGGGAGGGCTGATGAGAACACAGTTTGACATTCCTGTTTTGCAAATGTGGGTCACAGTATGTTCCCTTCGTGGCACATTCTGATGTGTTTCTTGTGCTATGCAGAGGGACACGCTGCTCTCTCCCCCCTTGCAATGGGCATCTGCTGAAATTCTCCTTGCAACACCAGATTCCAACGATTCCTGCTCTGCTCGTGCATCCAGCATGACTTTGTGCCCAGTGCAGGAAACAGGAATGAATTCTGAGGGCAGTAGGAAGTTACGAGTTGTGATTAAGTGACCGTTACCATCTACACGACTCATAAATCCAAGCCCATGCCCGTTTTTCCCTTTGCCTGCTGTGCATGGTAAACATGCAGATTTTAATTTGTTGTGTGGCTGATTATCACATCCTGTCCTTTCTCAAGGGCACATTTGCTTAAGGAAATTTGCCATGATCACAGAGGTGTCAAGGGTTAGGACCGACCTGCTATTCTCTTCCTACCCGATGCAGGGACCCTGTCCAGCCCTCCTGGCTCCAGGGAACCAGCAGGAGAAGCCATTCTGTGGTAGAACAGCTGCTCTGGAGATATCTGGGGGTTCATGATTGACCTGTGACACCCTCCAGCAATGGCCATTGGAGGGAGGGAGGGAGGGAGGGAGGCAGGTCCTGAGCTCATTCCATAGGGACCAGCCCTGAGCTGCTGTGCCCGGGGCAGGGCAGCCCTGTAATGCTGTGGGTTTGTTGTCTCTGTGGTGCCCAAGGCCTGATCCGGCTGCAGGAGCTCATCATGGCCCCGTCCCGTTACAACATCCGCCTGAAGATCCGGCAGCTCCCACTGGACACGGACGACGCGCGGCCGCTGCTCAAGGAGATGAAGCGGGGCCGGGAATTCCGCATCATCTTCGACTGCAGCCACCTGATGGCAGCTCAGATCCTCAAGCAGGTGAGGGAGGGGGCCACGGGGACGAACAGGAGGGGCCACGAGGAGCCCCTGGGTGTGGGGTGGCCCCACACTGGGGTGCAGCTTTCCCCCGGCCCCATCCACAGCCATGCTGAAAGCTGCTCCCTGTCCATCCTTCGAGGACACTGGTGGGTTCCTACAGAACGTGGAGTTTGCACTGACAAACTGGAAGCACCCAAAAGCAACCGTGGGTAAGAATGAACAAACACTGCAGGAGGAGAAAGGGCTGTGCTGAACACGGAAGGGCTGTGCTGAGCCCAGGCTGGTGCCAGACAATTCTGTGACTCTGCAGCTGCACAGCCCCAGCCCCAGCCCCAGCCCCAGCTCCTGCCTCCTCCATCCAGAGCAGCACTCGTGGCTCCCCCAGCCAGGCCCAGCTGGGAGGGCAGCATCCTCTGGCCCTTCCCCAGCACGGTCTGCAATTCTTGGACTTTAAGCCAGATGTCAGTGATTTTCCATTCATTTGGGCTCTCTCCTCTCTTGCTGCTCACCCCAGCTCCTCCTCATTCCCAAGAGCCTTTGGATTTTGGGGTCAATATGAGGCAAAGACTCTCACAAAGATACTAAAAGCCAGCCACTGGAAGTGTTGCTCCTCTCAGCCCAGCATGACACAACCACACAGATTAAATAAATCCCCTGAAGGGCTGAGAAAGGGAGCACAAGGCAAGTGCCTCCTCCTGCAGCCTGCTTGATGCAAAATGAAGGGAAGTGCTCAGAGAACTTGGAAAGCCTGGGAGGGATTATTACAGAAAGCAATAGAAGGGGCTCATTGTCTCCTGCCTGTATTTTCCCGTGCTGGCTGTGTTTGGTGCTGCTCACTTGTTATGCAGTTTATTATAGTTTATTGTGCCATCTGCTCTGCTCATCACTGCGAGTGCAGAGTGAGGAAGATGGAGGAGAGGGGGGACTAGGGGGGGACAAGCCTCTCTAAGTCCTTCTGGCTGGTTTTGTGTGTGTGTGTTGGGTTTTTGTCAGGACCTGAAGCCATGCATTTCAGCCTAACAACACTACACAGGGTTATTTTTACTGAGGGAAATACTGTGAAGCATTGTCAGAGCCTGGGAAGGTGCACAAACCCAAACCACAGCCCGAGCAGCCTCTGCTCTGGTGTGCAGCACCAGGCAGGCTCACAGCAGTGCTCCTCCTTCCTACAGCAGGTCTGGGCTCCTCACCTGTGTCCAAAATGATCCAAAATGGACCCGAACTGGAATTTCATGATTTGCTCCTGATTGCTTTCCCATCTCTAACTGATGCTTCCTATACTGAGGTCCCATTCCCTGCTCCAGCTCTTTGCCCCAGGGTGTGCAGGAGGGAGGGAGCTCCAGTGCAGCCCAGCAGATCCAGCAGCCAGGCAGGGATGGGGGGAATGGGACAGGACAGCACGAGGCCACGCAGCAACAGCCTCCAGACTGTCTAAAAGCTACTCCCAGAGCTGGAAACCTGGGTGAAATCACACTCTGGAGTCACAGTATGTAGGCTTACAATCCAGAGCCTTTCCTTTCCCCTGCTTTTTGATGTCTCACTTCTTCTCAGACTGTCACTTCCTTCCTCGGAGCAAAATTCCGCCCTAGTAATTCTAACAAAATCCAAGGGAAGCAAATGTTACCGGCGGGGACTTGAAGTCGCTTTCCCATGAGTGGGGATTTTAAAGTGCTCTTGCATGTGTTTTCTCCAGAAAACATCCTCACAGAGTCAGCATCCCAGGCAAACCCGTGGGAATCTCTTTCCAGCCACCAGCTCCAAGGTGACCTTTTCCATAGACTCAAATGTGTTCCCCTGTGTGGTGCAGGGTCTGGACGTGGTTGTCCAGCCAAGGCCCCTTCAGCCCATGGCTGTGCTCTGGCAGAGCTCACAGGACAGGCTGTTCTCTGCAGTGCTCAGCTATGCAGATCCCAGCAATCTGCCCCAGCCATGCTCTGTGCCGGGGCTGGCCAAGGGCCCTCGGGTCTGGGACGTGATTTCAAAGGGATGGGGGATGTTCCCGCCCCTCACCCTTGTGCCTACATCTTCACAGCCCCATTTCTAAACCAGGCACTCAGTTAGGATCCCACTGTCATGCCCACGGAGGAGGGACAGGCAGAGTCAGGTGGGCACTGAAGGGGAAGGGATGTGATATTCTTGTATCTGCTTTACTAACCTCCTTTCCCTCCTCTCCTCAAGGCCATGGCGATGGGAATGATGACAGAGTACTACCACTTCATCTTCACCACCCTGGTAAAGTATCTGTCTGTGCACACACTCCCTGCTGGGTGGGGGGGGGTCCAGTCCACTGCAGGGGGGTGGGAAATGCAAGGGAACCCTGCAGAGGGGGAGAGCAGGGCTGGGGTCACCTGAGGTGTCAGTTCTTCCTTCCCCTCCTTCAGGATGAGCACTGTGTGCCCTTCCAGATCTCCCTGCAGAGCCAGGAGCAGCCTGCTGTGGTCCAGAGTTCATTCCTGCAGGTTTATTTTGCAGAGGATGAACTCAGCCTGACATTAACTCCCCTCTGTTAAACACGGGCCAGTTCCTCTCTGGCTCCTGGAGGCATTTGGCTTTCCTGGCAGGGCCACTTGTGCCTCCATTTAAGATGCTATTGTCTAGTCTACTGTTGAATTTTGTGTGATTTTGAAAATCCAATTTATCTTTTTGCCTTTAGGAAAGAAACAGACTAAACTAACCCTTAAAAACTGCAAAATTTATTTTTCAAATGCAAAAGACATTTTAATTACCCCTGCTGCCATTATCTATTCCAGGCAGCTTTAAGCATTTCCCAGATAACCTCCTATTAATCAGCCCCAGCTGAGCCTGGAGTACATTTCATGTGTAGGTACAGCCTGGAGGTGGGAAAAGAGGAATTATAATAAATTAATAGATAAGCAATCACAATTAATGCCACTTTCCTGAAATAACAGTTATATCATGGGAAAGATATTTTAATCTGTCATTCCTTAAGGCAATGTTTTCCTAGCTTGCAATGCCTGTGCTTCAGCTTCCCCAGTACGAGACCCATGGGGTGCTAATGAATTAGTCTATTATGTTATACTGAATGTTTCTAAAAGGTCCCCAGTCAATACTGAGCACAGTGTATCAACACTTGGCATGAAATGCTTCAACACTTTGCAAGGCAGCACGACTACAGTTCACTGACTCCGGCACAACGAGCCCCATCAGCCTTTTCCACCCGAGGAGGAGGAGAGGGAGGAGGAGGAGGAGGAGGAGGAGGAGGAACTGGGACTGCTGAGCCCTCATCCCCGGCACACATAGCTTTGACACCCAGGGAGAACCCCTAAGCTCCAAATCCTGGGGGTGTCTCAGCAGTCTGGGAAGCGAGTCCTTGCAGACGTGGCCAATTCCCAGCCCTCGGGGCAAAGCTGTGTCTGTCCAGGGCTCCTGATGAGCCCTGGGGGAACCTCCCCTGTGGGGGAACCTCCCCCAGGGGCTCCACACCGGGATGCCCTTCCTGGACACCCCCATTTCCACCTCTGCCTGTGGGTGCAGGAGGGGGTGAGGATCAGTCCCCAGCACTGCCACCACCCCCGAGGAACCCGGGATGGGTTAACTGGGGAGGAGGGAGAGCATCACAGGAACACCCAGAATGAAACACGGGGCGGAGGGGAGAATTAATCTGCAGCACAGAAAATAATGAGTGAAAGGGAATGTAGATGAGGTGGAAAATAGAACCAGATGTTTCAATTTGCGGCTGTGCAGGAGCAGAAAATCCAGAAGAAACTGATCTGGTGATTCTCCTCCACACCTCCCCACGTCCTGACACTCAGCTGCTGTTCTGAGTTATCCTCTGGTTCCAGGAGCTGATAAATCAGGCTGCAGCTGAGATTTAAACTGGACCCCAGAAGTGATCTGATGGGAGCTTGGTTTCTATAGGAACTTGGTGAAAGGAAGGGTCAGTGGGGAGCAGCAGGGCAGGGAGGGCACCCAAAATACTGGCAGGATCTAAGAGATGGCCAGAATACAAACTGAAGTGTCTGATTAAAAGTTGTGAACCTTGAAAAAACAGATTTATTCCAGTGGGTCAGGCACAGGAACGTTGCCCTCCCTCACAGCCAGCTGACATGAGCACCTGTCTGAGGTCAAACAACTGTATTGGCCCTTAGCTGCCCTAAGTCATTTAAAAGTCACCATCGTGCCCTGGTTTTCACAGTGCCCTTTAACAGAACACGCAGGTTTGAACTGCAATTTTTCAGGGGGAAAAAAAACCCACAAACAGCCAAGGCCTGACCTGTGTTGTGGGGTGATTAATGACTCAGTCCCGCTGCACCTGCAGGCTCAGGCACTGCATCCATCAGCAGCCAGGCTGGGCCAGGCTCACGGGCAAGATCAAACCCCCAAAGCTTATTAAAGCAAAACAGCCGCAAGAACCCTCCATCCTCCGCTGAGAATGAAGTCTCAGCTGCTGGCGAGTGCTGCTGCTGTTCTGCTTTGCTTAGGGCAGTGTGTGTGGGACTTGTCCAGCCCTCTGAGGGCACAGCAGAGCTGTGATGCCATGGCCGGGTGGTCCCACAGCGTGGCTGTGTCCACCAGCACAGCCCCAACAGAGAGCACAGCCCATCCCAGAGCACAGCCCATCACAGAGTACAGCCCATCCCAGAACACAGCCCCATCACAAAGTACAGCCCCAACAGAGAGCACAGCCCCATCCCAGAGCACAGCCCCATCATAGAACACAGCCCCATCCCAGAACACAGCCCCATCACACAGCACAACCCATCCCAGAGCACAGCCCATCCCAGAGCACAGCCCATCCCAGAGCACAGCACATCCCAGAGCACAGCCCCATCATAGAACACAGCCCCATCCCAGACCACAGCCCCATCACACAGCACAGCCCATCCCAGAGCACAGCCCCAACACAGCACAGGCACAGCCACAGCACCTCGTGCCATATTTCACCTCCTTTTCCAGGCCCTTGTGAGAGCAGTGAATGTCACTCCCACACTCACCCCCATGCCCTATCCCAGAGGGCAGAGCTGTTGCCCTCCTGCCTCCCCCCCATTAAATGGCTGCAGAAGTTGTTCGGGGCAAGCCCTGATTAAATATGCCCCATTAAATATGTTCCCATTAACAAAGCCATTACACACCTCCTGCCTGCCCTCTCCACTCACTGCCTGGCTCAGCCCCTCGGGAGCTGCCTGGATTTGGGGAGCAGAGCAGCTGGATGTGCTCCTGCCGTGCTGTCCAACCCCAGGCCACTCACACCAGTTCCTGAGCACTGCAGTTAATCCCTGAACTGAAGCTGATACTCAGACACGTGGAGAGCCCAGAGCTGCACTGGAGCAGTGCCCCCAGTGCCCCCCCAGTGCCCCCCAGTGCCCCCCCAGTGCCCCCCCAGTGCCCCCCAGTGCCCCCCAGTGCCCCCCCAGTGCCTGCCAAGCAATGCTGGCGGGCCAGCAGCCAGCAGAGCCGAGCACTGCCAGGCTCTGGGATCTTCACATCCTATAAAGGGCACCCTCATTCATCTGCAGACTGTGTAGGCTGGTCGGAATGTCAAGAAATGCGTCTTAGTTCCTCTTTGATAGTCTGCAAATTGGTGTTCTGCATTCAGAGTGACTCTGTCATCCACAGCACCCCGTGGGCTTCAGCACTCCCAGCACATCCTTCGTGGAAAGGCCCCCGGGAGCTTCAGATACAGGAGTTCTGCCTTATCCTCCCTCCCTGGGTCGCAAATCTCTTTTTTCAGGGTCACAGGCAGTGACTCTGGTTTTCTCCCCACAATTTATTTGCCTCTTTCATGCAGAGAGTGAGTTCTTTGGCTCTTTGGTAGGAGTTCCCTTACACTGTGTGTGTGGGAACCTGCACATACGGCACCCAAATTCCACCAACACCTCCAAGCCTCTGCAAGCAGAGAGTGATGGCAACAGACGGCACAATCCTCTGAATTCCTGAGGGATGTGTCCTGCCTCCCACCTTCTGAGGGCTCTGCTGTCTGGCTCCAAACACAGACACGAACCGACGCAAAAAAAAAAACCTCAAACAAAACAAAGCTAAACAAAATGTTTAAACCGGTTTCTCTCTTTTAAGGATCTTTATGCATTAGACCTAGAACCATATCGCTACTCTGGGGTGAACCTGACCGGCTTCCGGATCCTCAACGTGGAGAACCCCCACGTGTCCTCCATCATCGAGAAGTGGTCCATGGAGCGGCTGCAGTCGGCGCCCAAGGCGGAGCTGGGGCTGCTGGATGGAGTGATGATGGTACGGGAGGTTTGAACAGGGCACGGGGGGCTGGGGGTAGGAAGGGCAGGAATAGTTGTTAAGACCTAAATGTTACTTTTATTGGCTCTTGCACCGGTAACAACTCACCCCAGGTATCTGCCCCGAGGTGGTTTCTTGCCTTCTGCAATAACTGCCCCTCCCAGCAGCGAGTCTGGCAGTGGAGCCCAGACCCCACTGCTGTGTTAATGCTCCCACTCAGCCCCAGCTGCCCACAGATCTGCCCCCAGCAGGGGCAGCCAGGCCTGTCCCGGGGGCTCCACTGCCATCCCCCCTCAGCCCCAGGAGCAGCAGAGCTGGCTCTGTGCTGGGAGCACCGGCTGAGCCGGGCTGGGCTGAGCCGGGCTGGGCAGTTCCCCGAGGTTGGTGCAGGGACACAGAGCCAAAGCACTGCCCGTGGATGGGCTGTGCTGCAGTTTGATGACTCCTTTTAGGGTCTGATGGCAGCTCTGCTCCGCTGAGTTACTGCTCACAAGGTACAGCACCTGCTCGCCCATCTGTCTTCCCTGCGAGGCCGTCCCCGACCCCGCAACTGCTGACTGCTCCCTCCTTCCTCCCCTCGGATCTGCCAGCACCAGCCCTGCAAGCAGCAAAGCCTCCCAGACTTTCACCTTGAAATGGCTGCTCTGGTCCCTCCTGTTCCCTTTTGTTGCTGGAGGAGCCCACACAGCCCCCTGGCTGCCCTGCCCACAGCTGAGCCCCCCGTGCTGCCTCCTTCCCCAGCCCCCCTTGGGTTTGTGTTTGCCAGGTGTCCATCCAGCGGGGGCTCGGGCTCAGCTGGGCACTGCAGCTTGTAATTCCCCATGAAATTGCCCGGACATGTCCTTGCCCCGCTCTTCCCCAGCCCCAAATTCACAAAGCCTGTCCCTGCTGTGGTTACCCCCACCCAGGGAGGCAGGTTGGGCTCCTGCTCTTCATGCTCGGGTGCTGAGGGAAGGGAAGGTCACGGGGATGGCTGCCAGCACTGGAGGATTTTCTCCATGGCTACGTCCTGTTCCATGTTTGCCCAGTTATTTGCTGTATTATTTTGGTTTATTGTGGTTTATTATGATGCTGCTACGCTCGCATCTGTTTTGTGGCTCTGTGGAGCCAGCAAATAATGTATTTTCACTGGGAGGTCTTACCACGTTGGAGTGAAAAATAAATCCAATTCTCTTGATCAGTGTTTGGAGGTGAGATGGGGCATCTCAAATTGAATCTAAAACCATCGTATTACACGGAAGAAAAAAAAAGTTCCCCCTGGTTGGAATCACTGAAATGCTGAAATATGTTACAAATTCACAAGGTCCTGATTTTGGTGACAGTTTGGGTCGTTTTTGAAAAATTCTGTGCCCATAAACAAACCATTTAACATCCCTGTTTCTTATTTTCCCACTTATAAAATAGTGTGGAAAATATGTTCTCGTGTAGGTTTTTTTTGCACTCAGACAAAACAGACTCAATAGGAAAACTCTGTTACTATCTCCTACATTTAGAAATCGCTGCCTCCCTGTTTGACACCACAGCAGGAAATGTGCAAGAAGCAACCAGAATAGCTGCTCGCAGGCAAATGACACTTCTCAAATCACTGATTTTAGACAGAACCACGAGTTTTTGGTCTAAAGAGCCAAGGGGTGGTCAGTGGGACGCGGGCAGAGGAGCCCTGGGGTCTGTGGGTGTTGGCAGGAGGTAACTCAGGGAGGGTTCCACCTTCTCCTACGACACCCCCCGAGTGCCCCCCGGCTCGGGGGCCACTATGGCCACCCCACTGTCGCCCTCCCTTTAGACAGACGCTGCCCTGCTGTACGACGCCGTGCACGTGGTGTCCGTGTGCTACCAGCGCGCGCCGCAGATGACGGTGAACTCCCTGCAGTGCCACCGGCACAAGGCCTGGAGGTTCGGCGGCCGCTTCATGAACTTCATCAAGGAGGTAACAGCGGGACTGGTGGCCAGAGCTGGTCCCACCCAGGCAGAGCCTCCCCAGCAGGAGGGGCCTGGGGCGCAGGGATGGGGGGAGGAGGCTCGGCGGGTCCAGGATTAGGGAACATCCCCCTGGGACGGGGGGAGGATGCTCGGTGGGTCCAGGGTTAGGGAACATCCCCCTGCCCGGGCAGGTACGGCTGGGTGGAAGGACAGACACACACCAGGCTGCCAAGGGCACCCAGAAAGAAAAACCATCTGCCTTCAAAATAACACCCAAAACATCCCCTAGGAGCTGAAACCTCCCACGTGTCACTGAGACTGGCCCTGGGGGCACACTCAGTCTGCAGAAACAAGCCCTCACCCTCTTTGTGATAAATCCCTTATTTAACCCGAGTGCTTTTTAAACTTCTGTGCCTGTGGCTCTTCCCATGGAGAGCCAAGGAATTGGCTGCTGTGCCGGGTGTGTGACTGGGCCACACTTATAGGCTGGGTATAAAATCCTCTCAAGTTTTCAAAGAGAAGAGCAGAGGACACTGTTGGTCATTACTATGGTCTGTGCTGCTGTGTCACCTGCTGAGCCCAGCGGAGCCATCGGTGCCATGAGACTGTGCCCACCCCAGCACTGCTGGAGCTGTACCTGGAGCACACAGAGCCAAGGGAGGAGAGCAGGAGAACAGTTCCCACTGCAGAGAGAGAAGGAACTTTTCCCTTAACAGGCACGGAGGATGGAATCTCTCCTCTCTCTGCCTCTCCCTCCTTTTCCATGCTCTGTTCCCTCTGCAGAGCATCACTCCAGCTGGCTGCCAAAACAGAGTGTAAATAATTTGTTTGGTTGGCTCCTTTTGCAAATCACCCCGTGCCTCACACTCCAGTGCCTGCCTGTTGTTCTCCTCTCTGGCACCGTGTCAGCCCGTTGCAGGGATCATCCTCCTCCTCCTCCCTGCTGCAACCAAACACACCAGCACTGCTCCCTCCAAACTCCTGAGGCCAGAGCAGCTCCAGGCTGGTCCTGCAGCCCCGGGCTGGTCCCTCAGCCCCAGACTGGTCCCTCAGCCCCAGACTGGTCCCTCAGCCGGGCTGTGCATCCCCTCAGAGCTGTTGGGCTCCACACACAGCTGTGTTTGCTCTAGTTGGGCACAGCAAACATTCCGTGTTTTCCCTGGCTCCCGGGGGGCTCCACAGGCAAACCACCTGCACGCCCAAGTGAGCAAACACGAGCCCTCCCAGGACTCCTGGGGGGAGAGGCTGGGAGCAGGCTGTCACTGCTCCTCAGGAATTAATGAGGGAGAGCCAGAGCAGCAGATCCACCAGGAGACCCAGCAGTCATTCCCCCCGAGAGTGCTCTGTGCCACTTCCATCACACCGGGACATTTCAAGCTCCCCCACCCATGAAGGAAACACGTTTCCCAGCGAGGGGAGCACACGGAGCTGTGCAGGGGGGACAGCCCGAGGCTCAGCAACTGCAGGGCAGCAAAGCATGGCAGCAGCCTGGCATTCCCACAGGAGCATCCTCCTCGGGATGGTGCTCCAGCACAGGCACGGGACACCTCCTGGTGCTGGGAGCAGCTGGTACTGGGGCTCTCTCACCTCCTGAATCAGAGACATTAATCCTGGGGGTGCTGCAAAGTCTACAGTGCGAGAGAAACAGAATCCCAGAATAATTTTGGTTAAACCGAATTTAGGCACCTTTACCCCAAGGTCCTGCAGGACAAGCTCCCCAGTCAGACCAGGCTGTGCAGGACCTTGGCCAGCCAAGCATTGAAAACCTCCAGGAACAGGGTGTCTCCAGCCCCACTGGGCACCTGCCTCATCCTTGTGCTGCCAAAGAGTGAACCAGGGACTCCGGCAGCGCCCACCCCAGACTCCTGTGCCTTTTCCAAACCACAGAACCTGCTTGCACGGACAAGCTCTTGGCCCCTTCTGCTCCACTTTCCACCTGGAAGGACGGAGGGAAGCGTTCAGGCCATTTCAGCTTCCACACCCCTTGGAAGCAGCAGTGGGTTCGTGCACAAAGGGGTTGTCTCTGAGCTGGAGTGGAGCTGCCCCAGAGCATTTATCAGCACCACAAGGATAAACAGAGCCACAAGGATGCCCTGATAAACACCGAGTGTTTTCTACTGAGTCATCACATCCTGCAACAGCTGCTGAACACAAAAGGTGTGAACAGAAATTGTAGCAAGGACTGCAAGAGAGTTAAGAAAATCTCCAGCTCCGTCTGCAGCCTGAGCAGTGACGGGGGGATTATTAATTAATCAGGCTCTTTAGGGAGAAAGATCCAGCATAAGGACTAATTAAAAGAACATACAGTGGAGGGCAAAAGATTATTTATGATACCAAGTAACAGCCCTGCTACTTTTTCTCCCTTCCACAGGCCCAGTGGGAAGGATTAACGGGACGGATCGTCTTTAATAAAACCAGTGGTTTACGGACAGATTTTGATTTGGATATCATCAGCCTCAAAGAAGACGGACTCGAAAAGGTAGGCAGGGCTTGTCTTATCTGCATGTGGCTGAGGCTAAACCCTGGTGCTCAAGCAACAGAGAAATGGTTGGTGTTGTACTGATTCCAGGTTTCTGGGGTTTATATAAAAGGATATTCACTTTGTGGGATTTCTCAGATCCTTTTCCACGCCTCAACCATGACTCACTCGCCCTGAAGCCAGAGCGTGGGATTACAGATTGCAGAAGTGCTTGTAGCACTTTCCTGGGATAATGGAGGCAGGAGAAACTTTCTGAGCATCCAGTAACCCTTCCCTGCCCAGGCCAGGCAGGAATAGCTCCTGTCCCACTGCCTCTTGCTGGCCTGGCTCACAAACCCTTGGCTCTTGCCTGAGGAGGCCACAGCTCTGGGGAGCATCACCTGGGGTGAATTCCCACCATGAACCTGCCCAAGGCTTGGGAATGGCACCGGCTGATTCCAGCCTGGATTTCACAGGATGATGCAGTGGGTATTTTATTTTGTTACCTAAGGGACAATAAGGAAAAGGGCAAAGTTTGGTTTTACCTGGCTGGCTGGGGGGGTCATGAGGGCCGAGGGCCAAAAGGCTGCAGCCTTGGACCCTCCAAATTAGTGCAAATCTCCTCTGGGCACAGAAATACGAGGCTGATGCACAAATCTGATCCCAGCTGTTCCTGAGGATTTAATTTCCTTTTCTTCAATTACTTTAAAAAAAAAGAAAAGAAAAAGGCAACATGCAAACCTTAAAGCCCTTAGAACGTGGGTTCCAAGGTGAGATCAGTTGGTTGAAGACAAAGGGAGCAGTGAGTGGCCGGAGTGACCACGACTGTGATTCCCAAGGAATTCTCTGCTCTGACCCCTCTGGGATGACTCTGTGTCCCCGTTCTGCCACAGGTGTCTCGCACCTGGGCAGGAGGAGGTTGGCAGGGCAGCAAGGCCCCTTCCAGGGCAGAGTCTGCTTTCCAACAGGTACAAGGTGCCTCTGGCAGCCGGAGCCGGCGCTGGGATTGTCACCTCTGGGCAGTGACAGGTTCTGTGTCCACGGGACACAGGAGGGAGCAGGGAGGGTTTTCAATTAACTCTGCAGCACATGGACCACGAGCACAGGTGACTTTTCCAGGGAATTAATCACTCGGCACAGGGAGGCAGCCCCGGGGCTGGAGGCAGCCATGGATCAACCCTCCATTTGGAGGGGACGGATCCTGCACCACCGGGGACCCTCCAGCCTGTGTTCATCCCCCTCCTCCCAGTTTGTTTTCCTTGGCTTTGGCAGGAATTGCTGCCACACTTTCCCCCCACAGCAGCAGCTCTTGTGCCTCAGTAACACAGCACAAGGTCACCACAGCCCTCTGCGGGTGGGGAGCTTTTGGTGTCAAATACAGAATAAAGAAAACATTTCAAATCAACCCAGCGACCTCCAAGGAAGGAGGGGGGGGAAGATGCCACCGTCTCACACAAACTGACCTTTGCAGCCTCGTTCCCAGAGTCTAAATCAAAAATAAAAATGCCTTTTCAGAGTCCAGCAGCACCAACGCTCTGGAGAGCTCTGTTGGTCGAGTAATAGAAAACGTGCCAGTGCTTGGTACCACGTGAACCCAAAGGTTCAGCAGAGCTGCAGCATCACCTGTCAACCCCCCTCCCCTCCCAGCTGGCACCAGCTGGATTTGCTGCAGATCTGTGTCACATCAAACCCTCTGGAAGCCGCCAAACCCCGACACAGCCCCTGCACACCCCATCAGCTTTTGTCTCCAATAATTCAGAGATTTCACAGCTCCCACTATTATTTCTCTGAAAGCTTCCCGTCAGCTCCAGAGGGGCTTTAAAGCATCGATGTCAAATCTCTGTTGAAGCCGGGATTCTGTCAATAGTTAATCTGAACCAACAAAACACCAACCCACAAACAAATCCCACCCGGATTGGGCATTATGTATCACAGCTTATGTTTGTTGAGCTTTAGGACTGAACCCCTGATTCTCTCATAGCTCCTGGATGTTCCAGGGATTACAGGAGTATTAACGAAACCTAATTACGTGTAGTTTGACTATCTGACTCGCACAGTTCTCTTAATGCACTTTTTTCCTTTTTCTTCCCTTTTTTAATATCTTAAACTGATTAATTCAGTCTTAAGTGCCATGTATTTAATTTTCTTAAAGAAGGCAAGAGGTATCTGGAGCTGCAGTGCAGCAATCTGGGGCCTCTTGGACTTGCTTCTCCTTTCCCATTCACAATAATAATAATTTTTTGACATTGCAGCTGTTGTGTGATCCAAGGCAGAGATGGGGGATTGCTTCAGTTTTACCTGAAATATTTAAAACCTTTCACAAAGTTCATGGAAACTCTTCTAGAATTTATGACACTTTTTTTTTGCCAGGCAGCATTGCTCATTACAAAGTCTCTTTCTGGGGATGCAGTAAAACCAAGTTCTCCCCTTGGACTGCTGAAGAGGCTGAAGAATCTTAAAAACAGCAATAAATAAAAGATGGGAAGCTGCTGGCTCCCTGGTGGTTTGAGCTGGCTGCCTTTGGCTTCTCTCCACGTCCCACCTCGCAGTTTGACCCTACAGATGGATCGTTCTGTTCCCATTTCCAGGTGGGGTTTGGTTTTTCCTCGCTGTCAGTTTGGCTCCGTGGCCACCCTGCTCTGTTTGCTGGCAGCAGCCCCACATCCCTCCAGCCTTCCTGACATTTTATCTCCTCATCACAGCCCTTTGGCCACTCCTGCCCTTCAAAGTTTGTCCCAAAGCCTCCCCTGCACCTGCAGAGATCAGGTTAAAGCACTGCCCAGATCACTTTTGGTAAATAGAGACATGTTTTGCCATTTCTGGATCAATAGACTTCTTCAAAGTCCAATAATTTATTAAATTTGACAGCTTGAGAGGAACAGAGCACCTGAAATGGAGCTGGTGTGCCTGTGCCATGCCTGGGCAGGGCTGCTGCCATCCCTTCCTCCGGATTTGCTGCCAGGACTGAGGCATTTCCTGAAGGGTGGCCCAGGGCCCTGACAGGGGATGTGTTAGAAATGCCCACTGATGGCACAGAGGGCAGGAATGGCTCCTTCCAGGGATCTGTGGAGCTGTTTGAGTCATTTTTAATCCTCCCCACTGAAGCAAATTGGTGGGGTGACAGAGAAGAAAGAAAATGACCTCAGATTTGTGGTCAAGGAATGTGAGAAAGGGACTGAGGGACGTGAGGAGGGGGTTCACACATGGGTTTGGTTTGTTCCAGGTGGGAGCCTGGAGCCCTTCCGACGGTTTGAACATCACAGAGATCTCCAGGGGACGAGGCCCCAACGTCACAGACTCGCTGAGCAACAGATCCCTGATTGTCACCACGGTCCTGGTAGGAGACTGCCCACCTGTCCTTGTCCTCCCCCTCAGGGACACCCCAAACCTCTGAAAACTGCTCTGAAAACTCCTCTGAAAACTCCTCTGAAAACTTGCAGCCCCCAGCACAGATTGTGGGAGAGGTCCTGACAGGGTTGGGCTCAGCCAGGCACCAGAGTGCCCTGTCCCTGCTCTGCAGTGCCCTGTCCCTGCTCTGGGGTGCCCTGTCCCTGGATATCAGGGATATCAGGGATATCCAGCTCCCTGCCAGGTCTCCCCCGCTCCCCCCCCATCGTGCTGCATCCTGTCCTCCCGCTCACCATTGGATCTGACAGCAGGCACTGGATCTGACAGCAGGCACTGGATCACAATGAGCTTTCACTGGCCAGCTAATGAATTATGACTGGTGGCATCGGGTCCCGCACAGCTTGTGGTTTGTCACAGGGAAGCAACAAAACACATCAGCCCTTGGCCAACCTGCCCAAAATGGGGCTGAGTTTTGGGCTTGCCTTGGGAAATTTTCTGGCCCTTTCATGTTCCGTGTTTTCAGGGAACACAGAGGTACAGACAGAACAGAGCCCGTGGGGCTGCAGGATGCATTCCCCAGCCCGGAGCTGTGCCATCCCTTGTAACGTCCTTCCCTTCCCAAGAGGATGGGACCCGATAAAGTGGGGATTTATATCATGAAAGGAATAGGACTGAGAGTACCCAGAGGGGAACAGAGGAAGGGAACACCTGGTCCAGGGCAGAAGAAGGGCTGGAACCAGAGGTATTGTGTCCCTCAGCAAGGGGTGAGCAGAGTGGAGGCAGAACGTGAGCCAAAGGCAGATGCTGCTGCAGCCCTCCTTGCAAATCAGTCACTCCTCCTAACAAACTTCCCATCCACCACATGGCATTTGTTCCAACAAAACATTTCCATGGCTGTGGAAAGGTCTGGGCCCGGGCTGTGGCACTCCCTGCACCTCAAAGGCCACTCCATAATGCACATGGACGGAGCCAGGAGGGGACTGTCAGCCATCTGCCCTGGACAGGCTTTATTGGGGCAGCATTTCCATCCCGTGCTCTGTGAGCATGTACAAATTACATAAGGCACAGGGTGATATCAGTTCCCATTAACTGTGCCCCTCTGTGGGCATGGGCACGTGCCATGGGGTACCCATGCCACCCTGTGATCCCTGAGCCTGCAGGAGGAGAGAACATGAGGAATGCAAACCTGAGTTCTGCAGTGATTGCACTTCACATGCTGGAGTCTGAAATATAAAGTACAACCCTAAATGTTATTTGCATTTGCAACACCCCTTTGTACTTCTGCACTACTGTAAATGACGGGAGAAAAGCCAGAGGAGGAGCCTCTGAAAGGAAAAGCATGAAAGGTTATTTTTTCCCCTTTTGCTCATATTGCAGTGACTTGTTGGAAGAGAAATATTACCCCAGCAGCCAGCACTGCTCTCCCCAAGCAATATGGGAACTGTGAAGTTATGAAATTGAGGGCACCTTCACTGAGAAATCGATTAGCAAACCGAGAGAGCTTGTGAATTGGATGTCTGGCCATTTTCAGTAATAAATTGTGAAATAGTCCGTGAATAAGTGGTTCACAGAGTTCAGAATTACCCCCTAGGAAATGTTTGAGACCTGGAGATACATTACTGAGGCGAGTGGCGTCCTAATGTTCAGTGCTTCGGCTGTTAAATATGTATGTAATCCCTACAGCGCTTCCCAAAATTAATAGTGCTTTATGGCTGCTCTGGAGCCAGGGTATTTATATCAGGATCCATGGATTCAGCTGATTCCCAAACAAAGCACTAATTCCAGAGCAGAGAGCCGAGGGGGCGGCGGGGGAGAGCGGGACTGAGCCGAGCTGCGCGTGCCAAGCTCAACTCCATGGGCAGGATGAGATCAGCCGGGCTTTAGAGCTCTGCAAGGGGGGCTTCACGTCCTCCCACCTCCCCTCCTGACCCTGCTGCAAGGCCAGACGGGCCCCCTGTTCCCTCCAGGGGCACACAGGTCCCGGGGCAGAGGGGGGATGCTGGCAGGTGACCAGAACCAGCAGCCTCCAGGCTGGCACAGTCCCACTCTGAGCCCTGAGCCCCCTCCCTGGAGCACCCCCTGGGCAGGATGCCCACCCCCACCAAGCCCAGCTCTAACCAGGGCTCCAGACCTGCCCTCCCACCTCCTCAAGCCCCCCATCCCCGAGCAGTACCTGGGGCCGGTCACCAGAGCAAAGCACGAGCCCTCCCCTCGCTGGCCACCCCCCAGCCAGGGCAGGAGCCCTGCAGACACCCCTGATTGAGGCACAGCCTCGCTACTGTAGATGCTTCACCCTCCACTTGCCTTCTGCCCACCATCCTTTCCCATTTCCATCTGTCCTCCACACGTTTTTCCCTCGGGCTCCCCAGTGTCCCTCGTCCTCGGTGGCTGCCCAAGCCTGAGAGTCACCAAAGGGCTCTGGGCTTCACTGTGTGACCTCACGTGCCCCTGCTGGAGGGGACAGACCCACAGGTCACCGATTACTTCTGCCTCCCCTGTGCTGGGGCTCAGCTCTGCCGTGGTTCCACACCCCCAGCCCTGCCAGGGCAGCTGTAGCTGCAGCAGAGGCACAGAGCATCCCTGGACAGCAGCAGGGCCCCGTGTCCATCAGGTGGTGCCGGCACAGAGCAACACGAGCTGCATGGGGGACGTTTTGGGGTGGCCCCAGCCATGCACAGCTCCCTCACCCCGAATTTCACCCACCAGCCCCCTGCTCGCTGCAGCTCCTGGGTGCAGGACTCAGGGGTGGGTTTGTCCTCCCCCCTTTTACTGTTTCTAACACTTCATTTTCGGAGCATGAAATGGTTATTTTTCTCCCTGAAATCCTACCAAATGGAAAACAGTTGGCTGCTCAGAGAGACAAAATTAAATTTTGTGGGGTAAACAAGGTTGCTAATTAGCCGATGTGCCGTGCAAAGTTAATTTATTCCCAACATGTCACGGTGCCAGCCCTGCCTGAAGAGCCGGTGCCCGGTGGCTCGGGCTGACCCTGACGGGGACTTTCTGCCTCCCCCGGTGCAGGAGGAGCCCTTTGTGATGTTCCGAAAGTCCGACACGGCCCTGTTCGGGAACGACCGCTTCGAGGGCTACTGCATCGACCTGCTCAAGGAGCTGGCCATCATCCTGGGCTTCTCCTACGAGATCCGCCTGGTGGAGGACGGGAAGTACGGGGCGCAGGACGAGAAGGGGCAGTGGAACGGGATGATCAAGGAGCTCATCGACCACGTGAGTGAGGCCCCAGGGCAGTGCCAGGGTCGGCTGTGCTGGCTGGGGTGGGACAGAGACCTCTGCTCGCTGATTCGGGGCACCCGCAGTGAGCTCCTGACCCTGCCTGGCTCCCGACCCCGCCTGGCTCCGTGCAACAGGAGCTGCCAGGAAAGCATCTTTGTGTCTGGCTCTTCCAAGCATTCCCTTGGAATTCCTGAAAACAGCCATTCCCACTGCTCAGAAATGGGCTCTGTGGCTCCCAGGGACAAACATGGGCCAGGGCACAGCACCAAGGAGGCTCGGGGACCCCAGGCATGTCCCACACACAGGCCAGCCCAGACCAGAGGAGGTACCGAGACTGCAGGAGCAGGTGTGCACTGGACAGTTTCATTTTTTATTTTCTATAAAAGCAACTTATTTTCTAAAGTCTCCTGGGACACAAAGCTCCCTCTGCCACACAGCAGCTGTGCTTCTCCTTCTGTGGCCACTTCCAAAACCCCATTAAGCAGCAGGGACCCTGCAGGGACAGCTTCGCTCCCAACGTCACCGAGGCTGGAACAGCCACTGGGGCCAGAGGCTGCTCAGTTCCCTAATTAGATATCTTGCCTCCAGCACATCCTGTGATCCCAGGAGTCCAGTTAGGGAGGTGAGGAAAGCTGGGTTTTTATGAATATCTGATTCCCAGAGAAGGTCTCTGGAAGAAAAGCTGAGGACAAAATTCCTCTCTCCTCTGCACAGCACAGGCAGGGCAAGAGCTGTGACACTGTGCTCTCCTCCTGAATGGCAATGTCCTGCTCCACTGAAGCAGCCCTTGGACCACCTCTCCAGGTCCTGGCTACATTCTGAGGCCACGGCTCAGGCAGCAAAGACACAAAAATAATCCCCCACCCATAGCATGGGGTACAGTTCCTGGGGGAGGAATTGCTGGGTGAGTCACTGCCTGCAGAGCTGGGGCTGGCTCGGGAGCAGGGCCGGGCTTCTGATCTGCTTATCTGCCCTAAATGACATTGGACAAGTTGCTTCTGTGCAATGCTTCCTCCATCTGTAAAATGCAGATGATAATGATGATGTCCCTTAGAGGGACACGGTGACAATCAGTTTGCAGCGGGCACTGCAGCTCACCCGGGGAGCAGGAGCACGGCAAGGGCACGTGGGGACAGCCCTGGGGAGCAGGACACTGCCTCACAGGGGAATACCCCACTGCCTGTGCAAACCTGCCCTGCTGCTTCTGCTTCTGGAAAGCTCCACGCAGCTGAAAATACAGATTTTATAGCCTCTTACACAACAGCCTTGCCTGTCACACCGGCGGTGTCCCAGCGGAAGGGCTGGTGCTTTGTGCTCCCAGTGATGTGTGTGACACAGATCCAAACCCACTGTGCCCCTGGGCACAGCCCCCCAGGACACAGTTCCTGCCACCCCACACCCGCTGTAGGAGCAGGGATGGGGCTCTCACTGCAGAGGCTGCAGAGCGGGGCTTGGAAGGAGCAAATCGCTCCAAAGCAGGAAATAAGATACAGGGAATGGCAGCCAGACAGTCACTGAGCCCAAACTGTGTCACCTCCACTGTCCTGCAAGATGCCACAGGGCCCTGGGGGGCTTCAGCCATTCCCAGAGCTGTGGTCAGCTAAATGAAGCAGAAGGTTTGGGGAACAACCTCATTAACTAACACAAAATTTGTGGTCAGCCTGCACTGTGGTGTTTCTTGGATAACTATTTAAAAAGCAGATTAACAAGAGCAGCCAGAAAGGACCAAATCCCCTCTTCTTGTAAGCTGTCCTCTGACAGAGGTGGAGCTCTGCACTCTGTCCTGGGAGGCTGAAGTGTGTCTGCAGGGGCTGATGACACTGCCCAGGCCCCACATGAAGCCATTAGTTCCCTGATCTGCATGTCATTATTTTTTACAGCAGTGTTTATGTAAAGCTTTAAAAAGTGAAATTGCAACCAGATGGGCCCTTCCTCGGCAGCATCTTCCCATGGTGTGGGGAAAGGAACAACCCATGGACACTCCAACGGGCAAGTTCAAGTTTATTTCACACCCAGGAGGAGAAGTGTTGCAGACAGCATTCAAATAGAGCTGTGGTGATGAAAACAGGGCTGCCCACACTGAGAATTTGTTATCTGGGCTGGCTTTCCTCCATGTTCAGTGTCTCCTTCTCATAAACCAATGGGGATCATTCAGGTGGGAAAATAAAGCAGGTAGGATGTTGTGAGTTCCAAACAGCCAGGCCAGGATTAAAGTCTGTGCTGAAGACCCACTTAACTCAGGAGATGCTGGGATGCAGGTGGGCTGAGCTGGGGTGGGCTGTGCAGAGCAGGGGGTCCTCCTGGGGTGCAATGAGAGACTAAAATGGTGATTGTTGTTGCTCAGAGAGCCTGGCAGCCCTGGGAGTGGCAGACTCTGCATGCCAGGAATAGCCTGATGCGAGGCTGAAACCTGGAGAAGATGGGCAGGGAGGGGGCATCAGGTCCCTTGGGATGGCCCTGGCTGGGCTGAGAGAGGCACCCGAGAGGAGCTGGGCAGGGGCAGCCTGGGGGGTGACAAGAGCAGTGTCTGAGGGGTGGGTGCCATCACCCAGGGGGTAAATCAGGCCCCCAGAGGGTAAATCAGGCCCATGCAGGAGGTGTTTACCCAGTGAGGGCTCTGGGCTGGCGCAGTCACGCATCCCCCCCTCCCCTCTGCTCTCTGATCCAGACATGCCTGGCCACAGGCAGGGATGCCTTGGGCTATGATCCTTTGTAAAATCCCTGCGTTTCTAGTCTGGCCTTAAGCACAAACAGGAAAAGCAACAGCAATCAGAGCAGGCACAGCACGACCCTGTCAGCCAGGTGCCTTGTGCAGCTGAACACAACAGCCCTGCCCTGCTGCCTTTCATCTGCTGCTCATCCTCAGCAGAAAAAAAATCCCTGTTTTGAGGGAGTTCAGCCTATTCCCTGGAGAACTAACCTCTCCCCTCACCAGTCTGCTGCTTATTGTCACCTCTCTGGCCATTCCTGCAGAGGTGCCTTCATCAGAAGGGCCGTGAGAGCTGAACTCGAGTATTCAGGAAGGTCTGGGGCACCCAGGTGATGCAGAGAAGCTCCCAAGCCCTTTATCCATAACAAACAGGGAACTTGATGACTGCCAAACCCCCTCCTTTCAGCAGCAGTGAACTGCTATTGATGTTTATTCATAGAAATTATTACTGATACAAGCAAAGCTCCACTGCACACCGCGGCCCATCCGCTCTGATTTATAAATTCCAGTTGTCTGGCAAAGCAATGCCTGCAAATCTTCCCCATTGTTTGTGGGCAGGATCCCATAAAACCAGCAGAATGAGTTGTTCCGGACATTTTGCACAAACTTGTTCACAAATAAAACTTGTCTTCTGCTGAAACGGTGCACATCAAATTGCCATTCAACCTGAGACTTCAGGTGGGAATAAAACAGGTATGGAAAATGCCAGGGTCTCTAATGGAAATCCCTGCCAATGGTAACTGCAGAGGAGATGTAATATCCATCCTTAGGGACGATTCCTGATGGTTGATTTAACACTTTCACAAGAAGTGGATGTTTATTGACAGCAGATTCTGGCAGAAATACACATTGCAGCACTCTGCCAGCCCCCCATTAACGCTCCTGCACTGAGGGAGGTTCATCTCAAGTGAACTGAGGCTTTGTCTGGAAGCCACAAAGCCAGGAATAGGGAAAAAGAATTTCACTGGATGAAGTGCCCTCCACCTCTTGTTTAGACACTGCAGGACCTCAGCATTAGGGAGGGGATGGAAATAAGCCAGAGCAGTTTCTCCTTTTGTGCTGAGATCTGGGTGGATTCATAACTGGGTCCTATTCAGGGATCAGGTGATGGAAGCACTGAAGTGGATGTTGGGATCCCAAGTTCTCTGCATGTCTCTGCAGGTGTCCCTGGACCTGCCTGCCCCTCCTTGGCTGGTTCATGTGCCAGGAATCCCTAGGATAGGACTTGTCTCTCACAGCATGGCCATTCTCACTGGGGCCTTTCAGCTTCACATCCCTCAGGTACAATTAATGGCAGTTCCAGCTCTGAAGAACTTCCTTAAAGTGAAGATTACAAGAGCCCAACCAGGACTTCATGGCTCTCATCCCTCCTCTTCAGCTCACAGCAAGGTTTTTCCTGCTGACAGCTGTTCTTAATTCACCACTGATATTGAATAAATTCAATGACAAAAATTACGTCTAAATGAGGACTGAGATTGCCAGAGCAGCCGCTAAGAGCCGGAGTCAGACAGTTAACACCAACCCTGCTTCCCTGGAGCATCACTGCTCCCAGGGAGTGTTCCCCTGTCCCTGGGCAGGCTCAGGGCTCCCACAGAGCACTCTCACCCCTGCCCCAGCAGCAGCCCCTCACCTCTGAGCCACGGGCTGCACAACAGTCCAGCCCCTCATCCCCAGAGCTGCAGGGAAGGGATCAGGGAGATGCAGGCGTGAGCCCCAGGCCACGGGCACAGGGAGCAGGAGCAGGGCACGGCAGCCAAGCCAGCAGAGCAGGGAGGGGACAGGGATGGAACCCAGCACAGAAGGCCCAGCAGTGGCAGTGGCAAGAGGGACCAAGGGAGGACGGTGTGGGTGCTGCCAGACAGACACCTGGATAACAACTAAAGCAGTAAAACACACACTGTTTCTGTCTCTCAGGCAACACACACATGATTAGTTTATGTAAATACCTAATGCAGGTTGGCAAAATAAGCACAGAGGCAGCTTATTTTCTTGGATAAATATTTGCCTGGGTGCTCACGCTGCTGGGCTCTGCCATGACCAGCCACCACCCATGGCCCAGCTCCGGCCAAGGTCAGGCACTGCAGGATTCCCACACTGACCACGGCTGGGCAAGAGCTCTTCTGACCCACAGGCCACATCTCCCTGATAGCTGAGAACCTGGAGATAAGGCTTGGCATTTTCTGATAAAGCCAAATACCTCTGCAGCGGATGAGATCGTCCCTGTGCTGAACGCCCGGTGAACCCGCAGCCCTTCCAGCCAAGTGAAAATGCTCTAACTGGGGGAATGAGGAGATCCAAACCCTTCGAGGTGTGCTGGAGAAGTGTCTGCATTTGGTGTGTAGCTGCCTTGGCAAAATTCATCTTTTTGGCCTCAATTCAGCAGAACACTTAAGAACATGTACAGCGCCTGGAAGGCGAGCAAGCTCCAGGAGAAGAGAGGCAGGGGCTTAAGTGGTTTTGCTGGACAAGGGCCTTTAAGCCACTGGCACTTGCTCTAATTCCTCATTTTCAATAAAATCCACCTGACTGTGCAACAGCACAAGAGTCAGGGCTGAGTGAAGGAAGCAGCCAGAGCCTGGTAATTGACTGCCCGGTTTGGAACGTCAGAGCACGACAAATCAAAGCTTCATCCTTGGTGGGTTTGATTTAGATCCTCTCCGTCAGCAAACCTTTAATTAGAGGCCACCTTCAGAAAGATCTGCATTGATAGAAAGGATATGGAACTGCAGCCCTGCACTGCCTCTAATTGCTCAGGACACACCCCAGCCCGGGCTCCCAAATCCAGGCTCCGTCCTGCCCGTGTGTGACATTCCCTGCAAGGACACGGGCTGGGAGCACATCCCAGGAGCTGATGGAATGACACAGTAAAATTTTATTTCTGCACTAAAAGCAGTTGGATCCCTGGGTGTCCATGCAGATTTCTCTCTCTCTCCATTTTCCGTGGCAAAGCACAAACTCCAGGCTGTTCTTTGCTCACTGTACCATTGTGACAAATTTGGCTGAGGATCCCTCAGCTCTCCCTTGGCCAGCGAGCTCTGGCCACAGAACTGCTCGTTCGTCCCCTCCTTCAGGAAAACTCGGAGCCAAATCCTTCAGCATCTCCTTCGCTTTTCCCTGGTGAGTCAGGACACCCACACAGAAGTGATGGAGGAGGGAAAACGCTGCATTTCTTTTGCATTTCTGCCTTGTGACTGTGGGGAGCACCAAGCCAAAATTCCCAGGTGTGCTGTGAGGTTGGGGGAGCAGCTCCAAACCTGCCAGGATGGTCCCAAGGATCCAGAACGTTCCCAGCTCAGGCTGAGCAGCCACCACTGCCTGTCCACTTCCAAACTCCCGTCCTTCAGCTTCCACCCATGTCTCCACAACCACAGGTGGCACAGCAGGCTCACTTGGAAAATATTGTTCCCATTTTCCCCAAGTTTTGACAAGTGCCAGGGACTGAAATGGGCTGTTTCTGCACCAAGCTGGTTTAAAAACATATTTCCATTTGGAAAGTGAGAAGGAAAGAGAACCAACCAGGGCGCAGCTGGAGAACCATGTTAGAACAAAATACATCCCTTGTTACAGAATTCCTGAAGCTCTTCTGTTCAGGCCCTCTGAGGCTGCACTCGTTCGGGAGGGGATCCCTTTCACACACTCACACACACACACACAGCTCCTGTAGAGACTCTTCTTAGAGTAAAAGGCCCAGATTCCTCTATTTAAAAATATTCCACTGACTGTCATCACAGGTTTGGAAGGGCCAAACGAGACCATTAACCTGAGCTTCCCCCCCAGCACAGCCCAGGGATCTGCTCCAGTTCCCACAGTGAACCCCCAGTTCCTGCTGGAGCAAAGCATGTTCCAGCTAATATTGATTTAAACTTTGGGAGTAATGACAAATCCACTCCATCTCTAGGTAATTATCACTCATGGGTAATGTAGAATTTTAATTTTCAGAACCAGATGTTAAATAAATCTCGCACGAGCTCCTGGCATGGGGGGAGGTTCTGCTCAACTTGAGAGCTGTAATTTATGTGCCTGCGTTTCCTCGGAAGTCCACAATCCCAAAGAGTGGTTTGCAAAGCCCAAGCATGGCGGGTGACATTGAGAAAGCCTTGGCTTTCTTGTGGCTTTTTTAAGAACCTGGGTGAATATTCAGTGAGAGGAATGAGCACAGCTCTGAACCAACAGGGTGTATGTGGTCACTCGCTGAATTAGCACAGAAATCAGTAAAGCAGCACGAAAGGAAGGACAACAGCAACATCCCACCCCTGCCACGGCGGGTTCACACACAGCTGCTCTCTGCTTAGGGTGAGGGGCAGCACAGCGAGGGTCACTGACATTTGTAACACCACAAAATCGAATTTTTCTGAGCAGTTTAGCAGAGCTGCAGAGGCTGTCACACCTCCCTTTGGCTGCACTGTTTCACAGCACAAATCAGACACCCCACAGCTGTATTTCACAGCACACACGTCCCCAAGTGCAACAGGAGGGGGAACCCCAAGGCTGCACCTGGGGCACTTTTTGGCCCATTTCTGCTGTGTGAGGGCTGTGGGTGTCTCTGAGGAGATGGAAACACCTTGGCTTCTAACTCCTCCTTTCCTTCTCGCCCTGTCCCCTCCCTGTGTGCTGCCCACAGAAAGCTGACCTGGCCGTGGCTCCTCTCACCATCACCCACGTGCGGGAGAAAGCCATCGACTTCTCCAAGCCCTTCATGACCCTGGGGGTCAGCATCCTGTACAGGAAACCCAACGGGACCAACCCCAGCGTGTTCTCCTTCCTCAACCCCCTCTCCCCCGACATCTGGATGTACATCCTGCTCGCCTACCTGGGGGTCAGCTGTGTGCTCTTTGTCATAGCCAGGTAAGGGGATGCACCAAACCCATGTCACCACTGGGATCCCCTCAGGGGCTGCTTGCTTTCACATGCTGCCAGTAGGAAAGAATTTCAAAATGCACTTTCTTTCATGATTTTGGAAATTTTGCTGCCTTTCCATCTCATCAGCCCCTCCCTGGTATGTCAAGGGTAATTTTCCTGCTCTGTGTTGTTCTCCATTCACGTCCTGTCCAGTCACTGCTCACTCCCCTCCCCAGCCTCTCCTGGCTCCTGGACACAGTTCCCATCTCCCACACCCTCCTGGCTCCTGCACACAGAGTTCCATCTCCTACACCCTCCTGGCTCCTGCACACAGAGCTCCATCTCCCACCCCATTTGCTGCTCCTGGCTCTGATCCCTCCAGCAGCAAAGCTCCCGCAAACCCTCCCGGATATCAAAAGAATGGAGGAGCCATCGCCACAGATCTGACAATGTGTCTGTTTACAGCATTAATATGCATCTAATTAGCATGTTTAAATCCTCTATATTTAAAATCGGAATTTGCATATATTTGCATGTGTTGTTAATTCCACAGAGCCTTTGATGAGGCACAGTCCAGGGATGCTCCCAATCCGTGACCCCACCTTTCCAAACCAGAACAAGGCACTCACCCCTCCTGGGGCAGCCACCCTCCCCAGGCACACACAGCCCTCCATGGAATATTGTGCATAAACACCACATCCAGGGAAGGTTCCTCAGCCCAGCCTGCAGTCAGACACTCATCTCTCCCTATTGATACCAGTGGGGCCTTCAGGACCCTCCCACCACCAGCTGAAACCCCTGGGAAGACCGTGGGGGCTCCAGTGGGGCAGGGTGAGGCCCTCAGTGGCTCTGCTTTGTGCCAGAGAGAACCAGATGTTCTCAGCAAGAAGAGATTCTCATCTGGGAAAACGGACCCAAGGCAATCAGGAGCAGGAGAAATCCTGGGCTGAGTGGCAGGAAGCCCCTGGCTGTGTGTGCCTGGGCAGGGCACAGCTGGGTGGGCTCTGCTCCCACAGCACTGCTGCCCTCGGTGCCACCCAGCACCAGGCTGCCCGTGCAGCCTGCAGGGGCAATTCAAACACAGTTTTATATTCATGAGCTTATTTTTCCCAACTCATAATGGCCAGACCCAGCCCAAACTGCCCAGACCCCGCTTTCAAAGCGTGTTCAATGTGCAAACTGTATCTGCACACAAAATACTGCAGCAAATACTGAGGAAAGGCTGAAGGAGATGCTGGGACAGGCCCTGATGAGGCACAAACAGGGACATCCAGATGCTCTGTCTGAGCACAGTGGCTCTGCCCAGCCTTGGCTCTCTGCCGGTGCTGAGGGGTGAAAACCTGGAGAACTATGGGTTTTTTCCTCTGGTTTTGTTCTGAAATGAGCCTCAGCATCTCCCTGCATCACATCAACTGCGATAAAATACTACAATTTTTCTCTATCAGGCCATTTTTGGCTGAAATCCATAAAATATTGCGATTACTGTTTATTTTTCACATGTTTTGTTCCTGACATTTCTTCTGTCATCTCGTTCTTTCAAAGAACACCAAGTATTCAGGGTAATTAAGGTTCTGCAGGAATGATCTTTTAACACATAGAGATGGAAAGCAAGAGATTTCACGGGGAAAATATTTACTGCGTTCAGAAGTAATGGAAACAATATCTGCCTTTGACCCCAGCAAGGCCTCTGGAATTCAATTCTCAGAAGAAAACCGCAGTCAAAACAGCAAAGCCTTAATTCAAAGCCATGAGTCTCGGGAACCAGGCACTAGAGTCCTCTGCTCCTGCCACAGCCATTGGTCAATGCCACTTAAAACCGACTCAGGGACTATTTAGAGGCAGGCAAAGGATGGATTTGATCCATTTCTCCTTTTAATCAGCCTTTCAGTCCTTTATTGATGGAGCCCTTGCTCCCAGCCCCCAGCCCTCCAGAGCCTCAGCACTCCCTGTTCCCAAGGCTGGGGAGGGGGACGTGTCTGTGACCCTCGGGGTGGGCTGTGCCCTGACCTGCCCCCTGTCCTCAGGCTCCCACAGCCTCTGAGTGACACCAACCCCCTTGGGTTCATTATCCATCCTCATTGCATCGAGTCACCCACAGGAAATTTCTCTGGAGACGCAATTTAGACTCAAAAGTATTTTGCATCAGAACTTTAAAACTTCTTTGAAATGCCTCCATTTCCCTGCCAAAAAAAAGGCCAAAAGAGACAGGGAAACGATCATAGTTTTTGATGGAACATTCCTCTGAGCCCAGTGGGCACCTGCAGGCGAGGGAATCCATCCATGGAGCATCCTGAGCTCCCCACGGATTGTGGCTCCGGCTGCACGGGGTCAGTGAGCTCCTCTCCCTCCTCCCTTCGTTACCTCTTGCTTCCACTAATGGTTTCACAGCTCAGGCTGTGGCTGCTCTGCAGATTTCTGAATATTTCTCTGTCATTTGAGCAGCACCAGTAGGTTTTTGCTCAGAGACCTTGAAGTTCTCCAGCGTGTCATCTTGCCAGGCTCATTGATCTCACCCATTCCCTTTCTGTTTCATAGTGTTTCATTGGCAGCCCAAGGAAGTCTAAATCTAATTCCTGAATTCTGGCTTTATCCGACAGAAAGGGTTGAGGTGCCATCCTTTATCCACCTCTGGTGTGATTTATAGCCAGTTACAAGGAATAAGCAGCATGTAAAGCTGGGTCTGAGTTCAGCCTGGTTCTCGTTTCCTTGCTGATCTCCTCTGATTTAAAAAGCAGAGGTGGGTGGGCAGCAAGGACAGCCCAGTCACCTCCTGAATGAACAAGCAGGATTTGTCTGGGTGAGCAGAACCTCTGGTTCCACAGCCCCAACCCAGGGCAGGGAACAGCCCCGCTGCAGGAGCTGAGATAACCCAGAGCAGAGGGGAGGCTGCTGAACTGCACATGGCACGTGGAAAACAGGAGCAGAGAGTGGGACAGCTGAGCCCAGGGTGACCCTTTCCAAAGGCACGAGCAGAGCCTGGTCCATCCCCCGGGATGGTCCATCCCACAGACCCTCCCGTGCCTGGCCCTGCTCCACACCCACGAGTGCCAGGGGCAGGTTTTGGTGCCAGCAGGGACCTGGCACAGAGCTGGGGCCCTTCTCCAAAACCACATCCAGCTCTGTGAGGGCACCCCTGGAATTGAGCCACAAACTCTCTCCTTGGGTGGTGGCGCATCTGGCAGAGAATTGCAGAGGGAAACATCTCCTGACACAGGCTGTGGGCTGGGCTCTGAGGAGGGGCTGTTGTGAATCTCCAGGGATTCCAGAAGGAAGCGGAGATGATAATTAATGCCTGGTTCAAAAGCAATTATACCAATTATGTTTTTAATTTAATCTCTGCAAAATTTGGGACTCTCAGAAAATGTAAATAAACAGCTCTAAAAATATTAACGTCTCTCCTGTTGAGCATCCTCCCCAGATCCTGGCTAAACGAGCTCATTCCCAGCAGTGCTTTCCTGCCAATCCTGGGTAGGATTTGCAGAGATGTTCACAGGAAATTGTCTCATTTTTGCTCAAGAACTGCAGGGCCATCCACGGAAATACATCCCTGCAGGGAATAAGTTTCTCCCACCACCTGCTACAGGGCCAAGAGTCACAGCAATCCACGGGGAACCTCCACCACATTCCACTGTTCTGCTGGTGCCCTGACTGGGCAGAATTCCTGCCTGTCAGGACGTTGGACAGTTCTGCTTCTCACAAACCTGAATCCCACTCCAGTTCCCACATGCACTGCTGGGAGAATCCCTGAAACACCATTTGTCCCAGACACCCCTGCAGAGCCAGAATCTCTCACAGGCCTCCTGCCAGGGGGGTCAGCAGCCCCTGCCCAGCAGCACCAGAGCCACTGAGGCCCTTTTCCTCCTGCTCCTTCAGGATCCTGTCCCACCACACCCCGACTAACCCTCTCTCCCTGTGCCCAGGTTCAGCCCCTATGAGTGGTACGATGCCCATCCCTGCAACCCGGGCTCGGACATCGTGGAGAACAACTTCACCCTCCTCAACAGCTTCTGGTTTGGGATGGGAGCACTGATGCAGCAAGGTAGGGCAGCACCCGAGGTCCCCTGCCCAGCACCCACCTGCCAGTGTGGCTTTTTTAATCTAAAATCTGGCTTGTTTGCAACCTCTGAGCACCCACCACCACGGCCCGAGGGGGAACCCTGCCTTCATCCCTCAGCTGCCTCATTCACCCAACTCAGCCACATCCCACAGATCTGTGAATTCCTATTTCTGTTGATTCAAACCCTTTGTTCCATTTCAGGATCTCTGCCCTGGCTCGCTCTGCTCTAAATCAACTTTCCCAGCAGACAGGGTGTCTTGCCCTCTGCTCTGTCCCCATTTTTCCCCTGCCCTGGTCATTCTGAGCAGTGTGAAGTGGCCTGAAGCTCCTGGTGAGGAGCTCCCTGGCAGCCACTGCGTGAGGGGACTGGTTTCAGTGTCCCTGGTGTGAGACACTCCCACAACAGGGCCTTGGGAATGGGATATGGATGGGATTACACTCGTGTGCACGCACGGAATAGAGCAAAGGGAATACAGAGAGAGGGAATGAATAGAGTAAATCTGTTCAGAAGGCAGCAGGGGGGGAGCTTGGGAGCAGCTCTGAATAAGGAACGAAATTCAGCTGTGATCTAATTGCAGAAAATCCAGGAATAGAAATAAGTGGAAATGTCAAACATTTGTCACACTTTAATTTACCGTGTACCAGGAGTTATGCCCAGAGAGCAAAAGCAGCACAGCACCGGCTCGGAGCAGGCACAGAGCTCCTGCCTGTAACAGAGATTCCTCCTGGATCTCGGCTGCCCTCGTGGACTGTGACAGTTCCCAGCAAGATGGTTTAGCAGGATGAATCATCCCCTTATCAGATGCTGATAAATGAAAAGAGCTGTATTCTTTTTAACTCAATTCTGCATCTAAGAAGAAAAATATTTCAAAGCCAGGCTGATGTCACAGCATCCAATGCATCAAAGGGCAGGAGATGGAACGGAGAAGGAGCAGGATCTTGAGGAGAACCAAAGTATCCTCAGTATCCAGGGCTCCTCCTCTTCCTGGTGCCTCCTTGCTGCACTCAGATGGGAGCAAAGCTACACCCCAAGCTCTGCTTTGATGCCACACTGCCTAAAATTGCTTTGCAAAGCCCAATCTTTGTTGCACGTTCCAGGCTGATAAATCCTCTGAGCGCAGCTGTTTCAAACCCAAAGCTCTTGCCTGGCTTTAAAAGGTGTTTGGGGCGATTACAAAAATAGCACAACCCATTTAGCCCTTCATGTCTGCTCAATAAAAGTCATTCCAGACCCACCACACCTTTTATGCTGTAACATCTCCTGCTTCCCCACTTCTAACTGGCATTCAAAGCCCTGGACCCTGATAGTTCCTTTCTCTGGCTGTTTGATTTTTTTTCAAACCTTGTGTATTTGAACACACTCCCCAGAGTGAGCCCTTTGAAAATAATCCATATAAAGGCAAAGCACTTTTTAAATGGCAGAACAAAACACTCATAAAAGTTCATAAATAGCTTGCTATTTAAATCTCATAAAAGCAGCCCAGTTAATTACTTCAGTTTGGATGTTTCCTGTAAATTGGGCACTGTACCCAAGGTCAGCAATCAAGGGAGAGGGTTTTTCTGCAAATGCTACAAAAACCCCACTGATGTCCTCGCATGCAAGATGTCTGGGTAATCTGCCTCAAAACCAGTTGGCTTTAATTGCGTAGCTGTTACAGTTTTGACAGTGAAACTTAATCCTACATATATATATATATATATATATGTATGTATATAATGTATATATGTATGTATAAAACGGGTCCTTTCCTTCTGTTTCCTCCCTGCCCTTCCCCTGTCCCACCCCAGGCTCGGAGCTGATGCCCAAGGCCCTGTCTACACGGATCATTGGTGGCATATGGTGGTTCTTCACCCTAATTATCATCTCGTCCTACACGGCCAACCTTGCTGCCTTCCTGACGGTGGAGAGGATGGAGTCCCCCATCGACTCTGCAGATGACTTGGCAAAGCAGACAAAAATAGAGTACGGAGCAGTGAAGGATGGAGCCACCATGACCTTCTTCAAGGTGAGACCAGGCAGAGGCTTTTCTGCCTTCCAGGCAGGGATGCAACACGCTGAGGCCAACGGGAGCGAGAACAAAGAGCCAAAGGCACAAAGCCTCCCAGGCCACCACTGCTGCTCCTCACACGAGGGTTCCTTCAGTCTCACATCTCGTGCAGGCTGACAGTGCAGCCTCCCTGAGTCCCACCAAGGCCAAACCCTCCCTCCCTGTCGCCAACTGAGGTCACAGTTAGAAAAAGGCACTGATTTTACAGCTTTGGAGGCTGTGTCCAACATTGGCTCAGACACCCTCAAACAAAGCTCGTGCCAGGCGCAACGGGACGGGTGGAGCTTGTACTAAAGCCCTACAGAAAAATCTTACACTCCCTAAAGCATCTTCCCAATCTCCACATCTGATGCATCCAGCTCCTTCCCTGCCTCTGCCACCACAGACCCAGCCAGCCCTCAGGGACAGAGGAGCACCAATGAAACCTGCAGCTGGACAGATGTTGCAAAGTGCCCTCCCTGACCAGTATTTTTTACAGCTGAAATGTCTTTCTTGTCCTTCAGTTGTTCATATCAATGCAGTCCAGTTTTATTAACCTCTGAGATCCAGGGCAAGGTAACACCACCAGTACATCACAATTAAATTGCATTAATTTCTTCTATTTAAAGCCTAATTAAATTCAGAAGTCAGTCAGATTCCACTGTTGCCTCAAAAACGGAAAGAAACTGAGAGGTGTAAAAACCTTTAAAACCACTGCTGGCCTGTAAAAACCCACTTAAAACAAGAGAGAGAATAAAGGGATAGAAACAAGGGGTGATTAAGGAATTATCACCCTGGCAAGGCAAGAGGAGCATGGGCAGATTCCAGCCCTTGGCTCAGGAATGAGACTGGCTCGGGCACACCTCCACTGGGAAACACTCCTTCCCCTCCATCCCCCTAAATGCGGAAGGAAATATGTGACAAGCACAGCCCAGAGTTTCCCAGGCAGGTTGGCCCTGGTGCTGCAGGGTTTGAGCAGGCACAGGGTGCCACAGCTCCAGGAGGCTCCGCAGGACTCAGCAGAGGAACCCGATGTGCTGGGTTTTAACAACAAAGAACCTCCCTCTCCCACAACTTCTCTGGGCTCTGACCCGGCTGAGGAGCCACTGCCCTTCCTGAATCTCCATCAGCAGAGGTTGGTAAAGAACCACGGGGAGTTTGGTTTGTCCTTTAATGAATTCAGTTGCTACTGAGGGCCCATTTGCCTCCTGCCATGGAGTTGGTCCATGGCTTCTGTCTGTGGCACGGGCCAGATGCACAGTGGTACCTTCCAGAGCCATATAAACCTGGAAGAGCCAGCAGGGAAAGACAGGCTGTAACTGTGTGCTTTAACTGCGCTTTCCAAGACGAGTTTTATACGGGAATAAAAGGAAACTGTCTCTTTTAACAATCATCAGGACATAGCACGTTTATTGCTTCATATCATTATCCATCAGAATCGTACTTCAGGCTTCTAACGGCCCTGGCAGGGTTTATTGATGCAGTGTATTTTCCTTTTCCTGTTTTATTATCGCTGTTGTATGGAGATGAATTCTCAGGGATGTCCCCTCTGACATTACTGGAGCAGTGGCAGCACCCGTGTGGGACGCTCTGCTCGCTTGTCCTTCATGTCCAGAGGGGCACAGGAGAGCCAGGATTTCTCCCACCCCCAGGACGGTCTCTGTCAGTGCCTGGGCTATTCCCACAGCCGTGGTGGCAGTGCCACCTCCTCGGGGACAGCTGTCACACAGCACAAAGCTCCGGGGGACGAGCACCGGGAGCCGGCTGAGGATCCACATCCCCTGGGATGGTGGCACTGGAGGAACAGCAAAGGGGCTTCCCTGCCCTTCCTCTGCTGAAGGGGGGCACCCCAGACACAACCCCACTGGCTCCTGTGCAGTCCTGGCTCCTGGAGAACCCCTGGGGATGGAGCAGCTCCAAGCACACGGGCACACCCGGCCACGGCAGGCGGGAAGCACAAGTTTCACCGACCGTATTGGCAGATTTTGACTTCATGAAAAGAACTTTTGAGAAGATATTTATTCCCTGGCAATGCAGATTGAGTTACAGGAATAAACACGGATCAATTAATTTGGGAATAGCATCTAGAGTTCATCATAACTCGTGCCAGAAATCCTTCCCATCCCACAGAGGATGCTGCTGCTCCGAACCAACGACGGGTCTCACGTGCAGCCCAGAACCCGGGGGTGTGTGTGTACACAGACACTTGTATGTGCTCAATCCTCAAGAGTGAGAGTATCTCCAGTGGGTGAAAATCAATTTATTTTTTCATACAGGCTGGAATTGAAAATCTTAAGCCTGATAGTTCCTTTCTTGCCAATTTGGCTGATAAAAAAGCGTGTATGTCTTGGCAGGGTGCCTCGCGGGGGCTCCTCTGAACGATTGCATTAATTGCTGTGGGTGACTGGCCCTGCAGCTCTGGTTATTGAAGGTGGCTCCTGAGCTGTGACTCTGAAGAAAGGAGTCGGAGGCGTCTGCGATTGCTGTGTTCGGAGGGGCTGGTGCTGGGCTCTCACACACACATCTCATTTAGCACCAGCCCGGGCTGATTGGGATGCAGGGCACAGCAGGGCAGATCCTGGTGTTATTTATCCCCAACAAATCGAGGAGAGCTCTGCTGGCAGCAAGGAGAGGTGTGAGCAGGATGTGACACAGCCAGGCCCTGTGTCCGGAGCTCTGTCCCGGCTGTTCCTCAGGCAGGAGGGAGCAGTGACCAGCAGTGACCAGCAGTGACCAGCAGTGACCAGCAGCTCCATCCTCGTGGCCAGTCCTGACCCAGGGCAGCCCCAGCTGGAGGGGTGCTCGGCCCTGGGGATGCTCAGAGCTGGACTCAAAGTAGCTGGACTCTTCTTGGAGCAATCTGGGCTCTTCCTGGCGTTCCCAAACACAATGAAGTCCTTTCAAGCTGGTCAGGAGCGGTGATTTAAGAGGAGAAGAGAAAAGTGGTTTTTCTCTTCCACAGAGCCCTGTCTCATATAATTTCAGTTGCCTGAAGAGCTCCAGTGCCTCATGCAAGTCCCATTTGCTTCACTAAATGCAGCCTATTGATTTTTTGCCCGTTTATTTTGCTCTATGCTCTAAACTGGGAGAACACTGATGTTAAGAGCTCTGTGTCAACACCTAAGGAGCATTAAATGCAAGAAGAGAAGGTGGGAAAAGGAGAGCCAGGAAACCCAGAGGCCTCTGATTTGAACTATATAAATGTTAAACAAGTCCTTATCAGCCAGCCAAGCACCAGATTCATTTCAATTACCCATTGTAACGCACAGATATTTAATAATCCTTTTGGAGGCTGCATTTCTTGCTGCTCTTTGAGGTTTGATAGATGCCACAAATCTACCTTACAGGCACCGGTCCAGATTTTCAAGTGAGGGAGATTATCCTGCCTCTTGAATGAAGTTTGCTCTGATACCTCCTCTGCTGCACATTCATCAAGTGGATTATAATGAGCACGAGCTGTAATGGAGGAGAAATGAGCCCGCGGGCATTTTGGAGAGGAGAAGGAGCCCACGGGGTTAAAGGCAGAGGAACGGCCTTTGCTTGGACTGCACTGCACCCCCTGAGCTTTTGTTTAACTTTTGCTAAACTTGCTGGAAAAAAGGAAGTGGCTGGGCAAGGCATTTGGAATACAAAGAATTACAAGGGACTTTCAGATAATTCACTGTGAATTACAGTGGGTTTATCAGAAGAACTTATGCTGGCACATTTTGGGTGATAGTGACAAAATGAGGGGAAGCTGTGGCAGCAGCAGTTGGGCTGGACTGGGGCTCCATCTCCTGCTTCCTCACGGAAGGACAGAGACCTGCAGGGAGAACAGCGACGGCTGAAGTCGCAGCGTCTGAGTCGCTGTGGCTGCTGAGAGATCACCCTTGTCCAGGGCACAGCACAGGGACTTCCCAGCCCTCCAGCTCCAGCCTCCACCAGGAGTGTGGCAGAGGAGCAGCTCTGGCTGACTAAGCTGCCTCTGATGAAATGAGAAGGCAAAAAGAGGTGCAGGAAAACCAAGGAACTGGGCAGAAAAGCAGAACGGTGCATGAAGGAGGAGGCAGCAGCAGAACACGGCTTTGACATCCAGGTGCTGTTCCTGGGGGAACAGAGAGGATCTGAGGGAGCTGCACCGGGACAGCAAAGGGGCACAGCCAGAGGGCACTGCTCTGCCTGCCCAGGGAATCTGCCAAAACTAAAGCCAGCTCTGACCAGCAGCTGGGCCAGTGGAAGGTGTCCCTGCCCATGGGGGTGGAACTGGATGAGTTTCTCCCAACCCAAACCATTCTGGGATTCTATGACTTCTGTGACAAGTGGCAGAGACAACTCAGAAGGTGCTCGTAGATAAATGGTACATTTCAAATGTTATGGCAAGATGTAAAATAACCATATTTCTTCTCACCCAACACATTTTGTAGAAGAAAAAAACAACATTCACATGAATAGCAAGCTAGAAAACATATTCCCCCCTTTGCAACAGAATGTCTGCTGATAGTGAAAGAATATCCATGTTTATTTTTAGCCTTAAGACAATCTTGAGTATCTCTATGCCTCTGTTTACGTGGATATGTTAAATCTGTTTGGCAGTTGCACATATCTCAGAGGAGACATATTTCCTTGCCATGCTTGAGGAAAGACAAAAATATCATAGAATGTGTGTGGCAGAGAAAACCATGTCCTCTGAAACCCCCTCTGTTCCCTCAGTGTGCAGAAACGTTAAAGGGTAAACAAATCCTTTTCAGGACACTAACACATTTCAGCAGAGCTGCTGCTGGCCTGGGACACGGGGAGGGGCTGCAGGGTCTTGCTGCACTTGGCTGAAGCCAGGAAAGGGTTCAGTTCCACCCAAGGACCTGAAGCACCTGCACAGCAGAACATGTGCTGGGACCTTTGTCTCCTGTTATGACAACATGAAACCAAACAGCGTTGGGCAGTAAAAGCACAGAGGTATTTGAGACAAGGTCAGATTGGTGATGGCTCCGCTCTGTGACCCGTTCTTAACTGCTGTTATTGTTGTTATTATTATTTACTGAAAAGATACCAGGTTTCAGCAAATTGAAGATTCATTCTTATTTTGGGGGGGGCGGGGGTATCATTTTTCCAGAAATCCAAAATCTCCACGTTTGAAAAGATGTGGGCTTTCATGAGCAGCAAACCCACGGCGCTGGTCAAGAACAACGAGGAGGGGATCCAGCGGACCCTGACGGCCGACTACGCCCTGCTGATGGAGTCCACCACCATCGAGTACATCACCCAGAGGAACTGCAACCTCACCCAGATCGGGGGGCTCATCGACACCAAAGGCTACGGCATTGGCACGCCCATGGGTGAGTGACAGTGGGGGCTCTGCAGGGACCCCGAGGGGGCTGGTTCCCACCAGCACAATGATTAATGGGATCCACTCCCCACAGCAAAGTTCCAAATACCAAAGTTTACACTGTCTGCCTGCTGAAGAGAGGTCTGAGCTCCCTGCTTAACACAGACACCTTCCCTATTCGGTGGGATTTTGGTCCCACCTTCCCCCTGTGTGTCATGGTGTTCCCCTCCCCAGGGTCACCGTACAGGGACAAGATCACCATTGCCATCCTCCAGCTCCAGGAGGAGGACAAGCTCCACGTCATGAAGGAGAAGTGGTGGCGGGGGAATGGCTGCCCTGAGGACGAGAACAAGGAGGCCAGTGCTCTGGGCATCCAGAACATCGGGGGGATCTTCATCGTGCTGGCAGCAGGCCTGGTGCTCTCCGTCTTCGTGGCCATGGTGGAGTTCATCTACAAGCTGCGCAAAACGGCGGAGCGAGAGCAGGTACTGCCTGTGTCCCCCTGCACCCCCTGAGCACGGCACCCCCTTCACACCCCGAGCCCAGGGACAGGCAGGGAGGGGGCAGAGATCCAGCTCTGCCAAGCCACCATCCCCTGAGGCTCATTGATCTGTCCCTCCCATGGCCATGTCTGCCCTGAACACGGTCATCTGCTGCTGCAGCAGCCAGGCCAGCAAACACTGGCAGGGCAGTTCTGAGCAAGCTGACACCTAAGTCACGAAAATACCAACAGAGGTCTCTGGGAAGGACCTTCCTGAGGTGTTACATCCACTCACCACCATCACATGCAATCCTGTTGCATTCCAGGCATAACATACATGTGTCTTCTTCCCACTCCCATTCAAAGAGCCCCAAGGAATAAGTCAGGGCCCACCAGGAAGCCTCACACTGTCTTATCAACTCTTCACCAGCCTCACAGACCCAACCACCCTGCCCACAGCAGCTGATCAGTGCTCAGGAAACAACAGAACTGCTTTTATGTTCTTCCCTCTTCCTCGGGTGCAGTAAGTGGAGTGTGCAGTTGTGTGCACGACCAGAAATCAAAGTGAGCTGCCCTCGTGATGGACCAGACAGAGGAGGGAAAGCTGCCCACCAGCAGGCCCAGCAGGATCTGACGGCCCTCTGAGTGCCAGCACAGGGGGAGTCAGACCCTGGCCAGCCCCCCACAGGGATCACAGGGCACTGGAACTCCAGCAGCCGCCTCCAGCTCTGCCTTTGTGCAGGACTGAACGCGCCAAAGGGACCGGCCCTGCCAAGGGAGAGGGGTCAGCCAGGTGCCCATCCCTGCCAAGGGAGGGGGGTCAGCCAGGTGCCCGCACATCCCTGCAGTCCCAAAGCAGCCCAGCCCTCGTGCTCACCCTGCAGAGCCCCGCGGGACTGACCCGTGTTTGTCCCTGTCCCCAGCGCTCCTTCTGCAGCGCCGTGGCCGACGAGATCCGCCTGTCCCTGACCTGCCAGCGCCGAGTCAAGCACAAGCCCCAGCCCCCCGTGCTGGTGAAGACGGACGCCGTGATCAACATGCACACCTTCAACGACCGCCGGCTGCCCGGCAAGGACAACATGAGCTGCAGCACCGGCCTGGCACCCGTGTTCCCCTAGGGAACGGGCACGGGGAGGGGGCGGGAGGGAAGGAACTGTGGCAGGCGAGGCTGGACGCACTCTTAACTAGGGAAGAGAGGATTAAAAAACCAGAAAAAAAAAAAAAAGAAAAAAAAAAAGCCTGGTTTGTTCATTTCAAGAACGAGGCCTTTGCAACCCAGCTGCATCCACCACCACAGAGGAGCCACAGCTTCCAAGCACGGACAGCAACGTGGGTCTTGGGGCGTTTTGGTTTTGTTACTTTTCGTTTCTGGGGTTTTTTTTAAAGCTTCAATCCTCCAGGCCTCATGGAATCCAACCACCACCCAGGAGTCTGATGTTTACACACTGGAAACACGAGGAGGTGAAGCAGAATGGAGTCAACCTGCCCCGGAGCGGGTGAGGAGGAGCCCCGAGCGCGGCTCCCGCAGCACGGCAATAAATAGGAACACTTGGTCAGGAATGAGCACCTGTTCCACACCGACACTCACAGCACATTTTGGATACACTGTCTGGGAAAGGGAGAGGCACCTGGGAAGCACTGGGATGGCCAAGGCTGTGCCTGCTCTTGAAGCAGCTCGTGGTGGCCCCTCACCCCGCGGCTGTCCTGGCTGTGGCCATCCAGGGCTGGATATCCACGTGGGAGAAGGCAACACACGTTCCCCAGGTCAGCTGGGGAAGGAGAGCTGTCTGGAAGGGGTGACTGAGCCTGAACAGAGCCGAATTCCTGGCCAGGGAATACTGCATCTTGGAGTGACACCACCCACACGCCCTGTGCCGAGCTCCAGGCCGAGCCCAGGGTGACCCCGTGATCTCCAGCTCCTCCTCTGCTCTTCCCACGGAGCTCAGTCTCTCCACAGCAAGCGCAGGAAGCAGCTGAGCCCACGGGCTCTGGCAGTGGTGGGAGCAGAGCTGCTTCTGAGAGCTGAAAGCACCCATTTCCAAGGAACTCAGCAGTGCTGAGCCACAGCTCCAGCCCGGGAGGGGACTGTGGGGCTGGTTCAGGACTGAACGCTCTCCACGGCATCATGGACCTGAAGGAGGAGTCCCTGGGATGAGCAGCAATGCCAGTGCCAAGCCTGATGCCCTCCTGCCCCTCGGGCAGCCTCTCCATGGGATTTAAGCAAACACACACTAAAATGTTTTTAGAAAATCTTCCATGAACTGTCTTCTTATTTTCAGGTTGCTCGACCCAGAAGGTTGGTCCTGCAGATGAATTTAGGCAGAATTACCAAAGACCCCTCTGCTGACCTAAAGTAACACTCAAGTGAACATCCCTCAGCTCCTGGGGGCCTGTGGGGGCCAGCAGGATTCACTCACAAAGTTAAACAAATGGAAATGTCTCTGCCCCTGGTAACCCAGAACGTCACACGGTGATGCAAAGGTGCTTAAGAGCTGTGATTGAAACACTGCTGGTGTGGAAAACATGAACCTCTTCCCCTGCACAGGCCAGGGGGACCTGCAGGACCCCAGTTGTGTGGAGGGCAGGCAGGGCAGGGGTGGAGCAGCCAGTGCCCAGCTCTGTGACCCTATCTGCCCTCCCCGAGCCCTGTTCCGGAGAGTTTACCCTCGCCCAGAGGAACAAACCTGTTTGTAGCTGATTTGGGATTGTTCCCCACCTGTTCCTCAGTGGGGAAGGTTGTCTGGAGCTGAGCAGAATTAGCAAATTAGCTCGAGGGGGGAGAGCTGCTCCCCCGCCCCAGCACGGTTTGTCCTTGTTTTGCTTTTTCCGTGATGTAAAGAAGCAACAGAGTGACCCCAAACAAAACCAGGTGATTTGTCATACTGTGACTCAAGTAAAGATATGCAAAGAATTCAACATTCATTTTCACCTTTTCACAAAAACCATGAAAAATTGGGGGTGAAAGCTGCCAAGGCCAAGGCAGTGAGCACCAGATTCCCAATAGTTTGCTGACCACTTACCTAGAGCAGAGGGCAGACTGAGCTGTGGGGCAGCTTCCCAAGGCTAATGACACACTTTCTGTATTCCTTTGCAAATCCTAGGCTTGGCAGAGGAGTAGATTTCATGTTTTCCTCACAGAGTCCTAAGCTCTTAGAGAGAGATTTTTACAATTAAAGGAGAGATTAAAACAAAGCCTGAAACTGGCTTTAAATGTCCAGAGAGTAAAACAGCATTCATTTTGCTTCTTGGTAGATTTTTTTTTTAAATAAATAAATATTGTTAATACCACAAACCCCATTTATTCCTCTTTGACACCAGCCTGATTTGATTTGACTCACAGTTGTCCCAGTGACAGGTGAGCATCTGGAATTACTGGTGTCACTGCCAGCCAGACCAAACTCTGCAGATTAACCTTTTCCTTCCCCCCCTACAGCCCTAAATCAGCACGAACAGCAGCCAAATTCCTGCATCTGCATCACGGTTTTATGTTGAAATGTTGATCACTAAACCATTTGACGTGCACTGCCAAGGGAACGTTGTGCATCACCCAGGACAAGGCAGGGGAGCTGCCAGGCCCCACAGCCCTTCCCCAAACCCTGCTCACTGTGACCTGAGGGGACAGGGGGGCCTCAGCTCTCCCAGGAGGGGTCACTGAGCCCGGAGCCTCTCCCGTCCTCCCCCTGTGCTCCTCGTCCCAGAGCCCAAAGCCATGTGTGTTAATCCCAGAGGAGAATGTGTTGGGAGACTCGGGAAGGGACAGACCCAAGGACAAAGCCTCAAAGCCTTCTGCTGGTCTGTGACCCGGCTGGGACTGGCCATGACTCACATCTCACAACTCAGCTGACTTCCAACGCTGTTTAACTCAGATCCTTCCTTCACTTGGGCAGAGGGACTGGAAAAGTGAGAAGGAAATACAGAAAAATACAGAAATCCAGGAGGAAATACAGAGAAAGCAGGTTTGGGCTATTGAACTGTATCTGAACTGTTGTCACCTTGGCTCACCCTCCCCTTATCACTTGCTTTTTCCCTCCAGCTCTCCCGTGAGACAGAGCAGGGACAGCAGCAGCTTTCCTGGGGTGGATTTTCTGTTGGAGTCAAGCAATGCCGAGGGGACAGGCCCACAGAGAGACAGAATATGCAAAGGGGCACCAGCTCCATCTCTGGGCACCCACTGCCCCCCCTCAGAGGGGCTGCTGGGAGCAGGTTCGGGCAGGTGCCAGCACAGGGGGCTCTCGAGAGGCCCCAGCAAAGGGACCCCGTGGATCCCAGTGGCTGTCACCCCGTGCTCACCCCAGGGTCCCCAGCACAGTCTGTCCCTGGAGGTGCTCAGGGTTGGCAGGGCAGGAGCGTTCCCAGGCATTGGCACCTGCTCTGTACCTGACTTTGACATGTTTCTCAAAAAAAAGACAAAAAAATAAAAATAATAATTAAAAAAAACACAACAAGAAGAGTGGGAAAAAGGAAAAAATAGTCTCCGTGACATTCAGGGGATTTTCCTTTGTGGACATGCAGAATTTCTATGAATATAGTTTTTTGTAAACATTTTGTAACAATTTTGGTTTCATAGTAACTGTGTTACTTGCTGATCATTCTAGGCTGATGTAAATACAATTTCCAAAAAATAAAAAAAAAAAGAAAAAATTCTGATTATTTTCCTTTTTAAGACACTGTGATATATCAAAGTGCACAGTTTGCTGTATGAAGTAATATGGTTTTAAATTTTAAATAAATAATTTCTAGAAAATAATGAAGTTTGTGCCTGTTTATGCTCAACACCTCCCTTCTTGTTCAAATTTTATCCCTAAACGCAGTGTTTAATGACACCCCCAATTTTATCAGCCATAAAAGCCAGTGATGATAAAAGCAATTCCCAACTGAACCCAAAAGCTGGGAATTGCTGCTGGTGCTGCTCACCAAGGGGGTTGGGGCACAGTTGGAGTGGTGACAACAGGCTGAGGCACAACCCACGGGGAGAGAGGGGAGAGACAACGAGGCTCGGATGGCACAGCTCCCCCTGCCCTCGCACACCTACAATGGTTTGATATCAGACGGGTGACTAAGCCCAGATATTCCATAAAGAGCCATCCCCAGGAGCTCCCTCCCCCCTTGCTTTGCCTGGAGCTGCCTGAGCTTTTCATCCCCAGCGGTGCCGGAGCCCCGACGGTGACGCCGGGTCCATAAAATCTCTGTTTACCTCTTCCTGCCATGTAAGTCAAAAATCTTATTAGCCCGATAAAAGCTGAGGGCACCCTAAAGGCCAACGTTTATTAGTCTGAAATCTTTATGACTCTGATTTCTTCCACGAGGAACGGAGGGAACGCCTGTGGTTTCTGGGCTGGGAGCTGGAGCTGTGCCCTTCCAGCTGGGAGAACAAACCCAGGGCAGAGGCACAGCCCGGGGGCGGCTCTGGGCACAGCCCACCCTGCACACGGAGACAGAAAGACAATTCCTTCCCACCTTCATTATTTTCAAGGGTCACCCTCAAAAATCTCTCTCATCTCTATTCACTCGAGCCCCCGGAAAACCGCAGCTTTGAGGCTCCCGCCGAGGGGGGACCAGCAGAGCCCAGCCCAGCCTCACTTCTGTGCTCTGAACCCTGATCAACATGCAGGGAACACGGCGAAAAGAAGAAGGGAAAAAGGGAAAAGCGACGGATGCCTTTGCAAGGCTTCTTCTGCATCACTTATCACGAGAGACCTGCTCTGGGAACAAAGCCCCTTCCCACGTGCCGAGGGAATGGCTGCTCCCGGCTGCCCAGGACAGCAGGGGCAGGACGGGGCTGACCCTGCCTGACAAACCCCCGGCTGCGCCAGGAACACCAGGAATTGTCAACATAAATCGTTATCAGCACTAACGCCAGGCAGCAATTAACCTTGTCAGTCAGCAGCTCACCCTTTACTGACTGTGACCCACCGCCTCGGAGCTGCCAATCACCTGCGAATGAATAATTAATGAGACAACAGATTCCGCTCACGAAACAGCAGTTGGGTTCCCTTTGAGCATCAATTAATCCCTCTGGGCTAAAGAGGGAGAAAGTCAGGAAACGGCGAGAGGCGTCTGCCCGTTCTCCCACCTCCCGGTTCCATCCAGGCACCCTCGGACATTTTAGATTTCCAGCTCAGCAGAGAACAATTTTTAGCATGGATTTCATCCAGCAGAATCCCATCTCAAAGCAGTAATTGTGCATCTGCGAGCAGGTGTTTTCCTGACCCTGGGTGTCAGAGGCAGGGACACACCACGGCCCCTCCGTGCACTGCTGCTCCTGCCAGTGCCAGCTCCTTCCTCCTCCCACACCAAACCACATCTCTCTGGAATTTCTGCACCCGATATTCTCTGCCAGAAACTGAAATATCCAACCAGCCACGGAACTGCAGTTGTACATTAATGTTGTGCTTCTAACTGGAAAAAGCAGGGCCTGTGGCTCAGAGAGCTGAAAACTGAAAGATGTTGTCCTGCACAGAGGGGAAGGGAAGGGGAGCAGAGCAGGAGCCTGGTCCATCAGCAGAGGGGTCACAGCAGCACCAGGACAGCACAGGCTGCACTGGGAACACCTCGGGGATGTGACAGGGACAGGCTCTGTGTGGGCTCTGCACACCCCCCCAGCACCAGCAGCTGTGGACACGTGGCCCTGGCTTCCCTCAGCACCTCCAGATATTAAGAGAATTAAAAAAATTAGAAGTGCATTATCCTGCCTCAAACTGCCTCAACTAAGAACCCCCCTCCTGTTGCACCCTCCGTGGTGCCTGAGACAGGCTCAGAGGGAGACAGGGAGCACACAGGGAGGGTCTTCAGAACACAGCAGATGGGTGAGGACCAGAGCAGGATCAGGCCCCAGCACCAGAGCGAGCTGGAGGCTCACAGGGACATTTCAGAGCTGAGAGCACCAAGCAATTTGCAGGGGCAGCCGGGGTGCTGACACCTTTTATTTTAAGTAGTGTGGATGGTGCTATTTAGCACACTTTGAGCGCCACTGAAAGCATCAGCTTAGTAAACAAGAACTCTTCTGGCAGCGGTGAAATAACATATGGGCCCTGGATATAATGTGCCTGGAAATGGTTGTCATAAATTAGCAAAGGGACTGTGACACAGGTAACACCTCCCAGACAAGAGACTGCACACGCTGAGAGGAGAAGCAGGGCTGGAGAGGC